GTGTCAGCTGTGTAGTCTGTTAGTGTCTGCTGTGTAGGCTGTTAATGTGAACTGTGTAGTCTGTTAGTGTCAGTTGTGAAGTCTGTTAATGTGAACTGTGTAGTCTGTAAGTGTGATCTGTGTTGTCTGTTATTGTCAGTTGTGTAGTCTGGTAGTGTGAACGGTGTAGGCGGATAGTGTCTGATGAGTAGTCTGTTAGTGTAACTTAATCACAGAGGTTACGGTAAAGACTAGAAGACTAAACATCTGAAAGGAACAGACTACATAGCGCACACTAACAGACTAGACAACTAACACTATAAAAGACTACACAACTCACACACTACACAGTTCACACAAACACACTACACTGCTAACACTAACATACTACACAGCTCACACAAACAGACTAATCAGCTGACACTAACATACTACACAGCTGACACTAATAGACTACACAGCTGATACTTACAGACTCCACAGTTCACATTAACAGACTTCACAAAGGACACTAACAGACTATACAGTTCACACTAACACACGACACTGCTAACACTAACATACTACACAGCTCACATAGTTTGTTAGTGTAAACTATTCTGTTAGTGTCAACTGTTTTGTCTGTTAGTGTTGAGCTGTTTGTAAGAGTAATTAGACGTTGCAAACGAGAACTTAATCACAGAGGTTACGGTAAAGACTAGCAGACTAAACATCTGAAAGGAACAGACTACATAGCTGACACGAACAGACTACACAGACTACACAACTAATACTATAATAGACTACACAACTAACCCTATATAACAGACTACACATCGGACTCTTTAACAGGCTACACAACTGACACTAATAGACTACCCAGAAGACACTAACAGACTCCACAGCTCACACTTACAGACAACACAGCAGACACTAGCTGACACTAACAGCCAACACAGCACACCCTTACAGACTAAACATCTCACACTATAACAGACTCCACAACTAACACTATATAACAGACTACACCACTGACATTATAACAGACTACACCACTAACACTATAACAGACTCCACAACTGACACTAAACAGACTACACAGCTTACACTTACAAACTACACAGCAGACACAAACAGACTACACAGTAAACACTAACAGACTACGATTAAGTTCTCGTTTGCAACGTCGAATTACTCTTTCAAATATTTCACCTGAACGTTAGTGTCAGTTGTGAAGGCTGTTAGTGTCAGCTCTGTAGTTTATAAGTGTGAGCTGTGAAGTCTGTAAGTTTGAGCTGTGTTGTCTGTTAGTGTTAACTGTGTAGTCTGGTAGTGTGAACGGTGTAGGCGGATAGTGTCTGATGAGTAGTCTGTTAGTGTTTACTGTGTAGTCTGTTTATGTGAACTGTGTAGTCTTTAAGTGTGAGCTGTGGAGTCTGTTAGTGTGAACTGAGAAGTCTGTTAGTATGAGCTGTGTAGTCTTTTAGTATCAGCTGTTTAGTCTGTAAGTGGGAGCGGTGTTGTCTGTTAGTGTCTGCTGGGTAGTCTGTAAGTGTCTGTAAGTGTGAGCTGTGGAGTCTGTTAGTGTGAACTGAGAAGTCTGTTAGTATGAGCTGTGTAGTCTATTAGGTGTCAGCTGTGTAGTCTGTGTAGTCTGTTAGTGTGAACTGTGTAGTCTGTTAGTGTGAGCTGTGTAGTTTGTTAGTGTAAACTATGTTGTCTGTTAGTGTGAACTGTGTAGTCTGTTAGTGTGAACTGTGTAGTCTGTTAGTGTCTGCTGTGTAGTCTGTAAGTGTGAACTGTGTTTTCTGTTAGTGTTAACTGTGTAGTCTGTTAGTGTGAACTGTGTAGTCTGTTAGTGTCTGATGTGTAGTCTGTTATTGTGAACTGTGTAGTCTGTTGGTGTCTGCTGTGTAGTCTGTAAGTGAGAGCTGTGTAGTCTGTTTGTGTCAGCTGTTTAGTCTGTAAGTGTGAACCGTGTAGTTTGTTAGTGTGAACTGTGTTTTCGGTTAGTGTTAACTGTGTAGTCTGTTAGCGTGAACTGTGTAGTCTGCTAGTGTCTGATGTGTAGTCTGTTATTGTGAACTGTGTAGTCTGCCAGGGTCAGCTACGTAGTCTGTTCGTATTAGATGTTTAGTCTGTAAGTGTGAACTGTGTAGTTTGTTAGTGTGAACTGTGTAGTCTGTTAGTGTCTGATGTTTAGTCTGTTAGTGTGAACTGTGTAGTCTGCCAGGGTCAGCTACGTAGTCTGTTCGTATCAGATGTTTAGTCTGCTCGTGTCAGATGTTTAGTCTTCTAGTCTTTACCGTAACCTCTGTGATTAAGTTCTCGTTTGCAACGTCGAATTACTCTTTCAAATATTTCACCTGAACACATATTCCAGGAAGTATTATCCGATTCGATTGACGCCACTTCACTTTCAGTACCTGGAAGAAAAATATGAACATTTCTATATAATTGTAAGACTGCGTTAGCATCCTAAAGGTTAATTTTTGCTGCCACCTTCCACAGTAGCCGAAATAGACAGACGAGACGACCACCCTACTGCATACTCGATCCTACGTGTATCCGAGAAGAAACCTTCCCCACCCCTCCAAACCGCCTCAGCAACAAAATGAGGTCAGGATTGACACCCCGGGCCTACCTCAGCAGTGAAGAAACGGCAACATTCTATTAAAAAAATCAGCTTACTCAGCCATGTACTGACTTGACATGCAAACGTGTAACAGTGATAATTACACTTTTATCAGTGTGAAGTTCAAATGGTCCGTATGTCTGCTACAAAGGATGATTAGGAAGCCATGTACTGTTTGATACAGTGAGCTCTAGTCCACGTACGTACAGCTTTGGGAGAATTCTGTACACATATGTTCAGACACAATAGCTTAGTATACTATCTTATAAAGAATGTATGAAATATGACAGTTTTAAACTGTTATATATATAGGTCAGTGTCTTATTGGGCCAGAGCAGTATTTCCGCTTTATAAAATAACTAGATTATAATATTTGGTGTACATGTTTGTGTGCATTGCATGTGTGTTAGGGTGTATTTGTACGTGTGTATTTCGTGGTGTGCAATTTATGAGTATCAGTAGGATAAAAAGGGGCTGCGGTGGCCAAGTGGTTAAGACATCTGACATTTTGCTACCACTAGCCCTCCACAACTGGGTCACGGGTTCGAGACCTGCGTGGGGTAGTCGCCATGCAGTTACTGGCCGTAGGTCTGTGGGTTTTTTCCGGGAACTCCGGCTTTCCTCTACCACCAAAACCTGGCACGTCCTTAACTGACCATAGCTGTTAATAGGACGTAATACACAAACAAACCAAACAATATATAAAAATAATAATAAATAAGTACAATTTGAGAAACAGTGACATTCAACCAGAAATAAAGTCTTAATCTCTTCGGGTTGGTAAATATAGATTGTATACACGTTTATATGTATCATTATATATAGCACAACCAGTGAACCGTTCGTGTGTGACTTTTCGATGATTAGTATGACATCATGACGTCGATATGTACTCGTGTCACCTTATCAAACATCAAGGTGTAAAGTATGTACGAGATAGCAATACAATCGACAAGTCAACTCGGCTACGCTGTAAGCGTTTATACACTTAGTTGTTATAAGTATACGAAATGACGATCAATTAGACAGGTCAACTCGGCTACACTGTAAGTGTTTATACACTTAGTTGTTATAAGTATACTAAATGACGATCAATTAGACAGGTCAACTGGCTACACCGTAAGTGTTTGCACACACAGTATACATGGTCAGAGATGAGGCTTTGAGCCCCCTCATTTCTATTCACCGTTAACTGTCATTTGAACAGGTTGCTTTCTGTCCAACACTTTGGAGTTATCCTAGTCAACCACATGCTTTGTCTGTGTGGCATTTTGTCTGTGCTTGTCTATTTATTGATTTGTGACTCCGACTGCTTGCATTCTGATCGGATGAGTTGGGATTCCTTGTTTCCGGTGTTCACCATGTCGGACCCCAAATCGCTTTAACCAGTTTCTCCGACATACGATGCGTTGCAGTTCATGCATCCAACTGTGTGTACGTATTCTACGAGGTGTTGTTGAGGTGTTTGATCCTTAGCGTTGACAATGCTATTGTGGAGCGTCTTGTAGGGCTTCATGCATTGGCTGTTGGTATGCCTCGACCCACATCGGGGACCCCGCATCGTACGGTACGGAGTAATCCGGGCTGTGTGAAGCAGAAGTAAGCTGAAAATGTCTTAATAGGCTGGTCAATTTAGCTGAAAAAAGGACTCAACCTTGCCAAAAATGCAAAAGAGTTTTCAAGCGAGTTTTATTACTTGATAGCATTTCAAGTACATCATATAAAAAGTTTTAAGCTCTATATTATGGGGGAAAGGCAAAATATATGCGATCAACCTTACCCAATAACACACAATAAAGAAGTAACGTTATAAGGGGGTAGGGGTGAACATTTAATTACTGTTTCTTTTTTTGGTATATACAACATTATAATGTAATATATTGTTACCTGCAAGATATTAATCTTGAACTCCAATATTGATTTTCATAATTTTAACATATATTTACCTCAAAATGTTAAATTGGCCGGACTATAACATCATGTAGCATAAACTTACTTTTGACTGTCATCGCCGTTGAAAAACTCAACAGGAATGTACGCAGTAGATGAAACATGTTTACTATAGTTACTTAAACAAAATATGAAATAGAAAAAAATGGAGATATATTTGAATATACCGCCGATATATTCTCTTGCATTGTGGTTTCGGATAACCCCCCTTAAATATAAGGGATGGTCACGTGGCATTTCATTTTGTTCTTCTCCATGAGAAACTATTTCTTGTTCTTAAACTTATTTTGAGAATGTTTTGTGTGCCCTTTTCGGTGCCAATTCGACATATTACATCATAACCCCAGTACTGAGATGCGGATCAAGGATTTTCAAACGGATTGACGCGCACAAAAATAAAACTGTATAGTCTGCATGGTTTTGATCCAATAAGTAAATGACAAAGAAAGACATCATAATCATGAAAACAAATTTTAGTTCAACGTTATAAAATATAAATAAACACATTTATATGAGACATTTTCACATAACATGAAAGTCCGTCACGTTTTGTTGGTCCAGAAAATGATTATTTGAATTTCAAACAGAAGTGTAATAAGGGTGTCTGTCGGTCCGTTGTGTTGTCTCGGTGCCTTGTTACATCGGTCGGTCGGACAGACGCATATCGTACTCCTTGGAATTCCAAGCACATGACTTCCGGTTTGGCACGTGCCAGGAACACCATCTGTTACGTCACATGTCCTTACATAGAACCCTGTGGAGATAAGACAGACACGTCAGCACTATCACCACGGAAACACTTAACCCTCTTTTGACCTCTTACCCGATAGCTTTGTAGTTTCTGATAACATCGATTATGGGTGACAATTTTAGTGTACAAAGTTCAAGAGCTCGACCATGTAACCAGTATCATACTAGAGTTCACTTGTAATTGTTCAAATGATTCAAGCTTATTATCCTGACATATAGGTAGTATTATTTGATATTTTAGGGGTTTAGATTAACAGTTAAAATGTCCCCTCAATGATGGTACAATGCGCTGTAGACTAAATGTTACACGTACATGTATACACACATGCACAGGGACCTGAGAATTTGTTATATCTATATTTGGACCTAAGCTAAGGTGTTTAGAGTAACTTTACACGTTTTAGTATATTGTCATTATTGGGGTCGTCTTTTTTTTACAGAATAATTAATCTTAATCCCTAACACGTGTACAATTACTCTGAACACCTTAGTTTTGGTCCAAATAAAGCTGTAACCAATTATCATGTCCCTGTGCACACACATGTACACTTCATTGTACTACAGCCCACCAGGTGTCCACTTTCTCTGTCCCCGATAAACATGTGTTTGGTATGACCCACAGTTAATAGTGTTATCTATAGCTGTGCCAACTGTAGTCTTATAACATACTGTATTATTAAAAAAAGTTGATTTATAATGTGTATGACGTGGTTTTAGAACTGATATCAGATATTAAAATCTTTCAAATTGAACAATTTATTCAATATTGATACAGAAGTTGTTTTAACAAGTGGTTACACTGAGAATATTTTGCTTTAACGAAAAAATAAATTGCCTGGGATCATAAAACAATATCGAACAGTGTCTATCAACATTAACTAGATATCCAAGTCTGTGATTTAACAACGTAAACATGATATTGACACACATATATACAGACATGTGTTGGTGAAAGACTCTCCATTGATATCAGTGTGGTGTAAGGGGGACAACTCTACGTAAAGTTGGCTATCTCCCTTACACCAACCTATGTATTTTTAATGAAAAGAGTGTAGATGCTTAACATTGAAACACAACACAAGCCATTCGGATTGATATGTCTCGCCTATGCCCCACTTTGACCATCAATGCACATATCATAGAAACTAACTAACGCAAAAACTTAATGTTGATGGAGATGCTGACAAAGTCAATGGACCATGAAAGGTAGGCCACATCCAGCATTTGATGCATGGGTTTATATGTACTACCTAAGATGCATCTATGGTCTAAGTTTGGTTGGTCTAGCGCTTATACTTTTAGTGAAACTAAGTTAAACGCAAAAACTTAATGCTGACGCCATCGCCGGAAAAGCTACATCTTAGTCTTGCTTCTGCTACTTCTGGCGGCGAGACAAAAATAATCGGCGATCTGCAACATCTGTCAGGAGACGATGTTTACAGAATGGACTGGATATTTTGTTAACATAACGACCAAAAATCTGTCAGATCATCACATGTATATTACACAGAATCAATTGTTTATGTTTCTGCTTTATTTACCTGGGTAACGTAAACCCAGAGCATACCCGAAATTCCAGGGGTTACGTCCAGTTACGTTATCTGCATCCCTGGATATGTCATGACAAAATCGAAACAAGAAGTTAGCTGTTTGTTTGGTTGCTGGTGGGAAAACTTGGCAATCGCTTGGCTAATGCCTGTCATTTGAAGATTACAAAGGAGCGACATCCGACTTCAAAGCCGATCAATTTTACCGTTAAGCTGTCGTGCGATTATTTTGATGTACTTTAAATGATCAGACTGGTCTACTTGAATCATCAACAAGGAGGCGCTTACAGAGCCTTCGATTTCGTCATGACGATATCCCAGAGGTACAGATAACGTAACTGAACATTACTTCTGAATTTAGAGGATTGACCCTGACCTCTGCTTCAATCGATATAAAAGAGCTCGTGCTCAACTGCTCAAGAAAAGCTGCTACTTCTAGTATGACAAATGTAATGTCAGCTTATCAAACCTGGTTAGTATAGAGAGGTAATCACAGGGACCCGAAAATATGTTACAATTAGTATGTTTACACCTATTTCGTGAGTAATATTAGACGCGTTAATGGTCTAGGCCCCTAAAACGTCTAACATTGCTCCTATCATATCAGTAAGGGTCCAAACAGAGCTGGTGTAACCAATTCTCAGGTCAGAAGACTGTCTGTACTTCAACTTGACGTTAAGATTGACATAAATACAAATGGAACGATACACATTGGCTTTTGGAACGGAATGAAGAAAAAGGGAAGACTCGCTTTTATTGATATCCACCATGGCCACAAGTTTCATACAACTTCCAGTACAGTTGACAGTCTCGGCGGTGTATGGGGAGAGATCCTTCCCAACAAAATGTTCCGTACACCATTCATCATCAAGAGACGTGCACTCCCAACACACCGTACTGGTGGTACCTGAAGAATAAATTCGCCGAGTTTTGATTACCAAAGTAAATATCTAACATATTAAAAAAAACACAGTGTACTGTAATTAACACCCCTCATAACAATTGAATAATTCACCCTCGTAAGTATTGAATAAAAAACACTCATGACTACTGAATATCAACCCCTCATAACTATTCAATATCCACCCAACCTTATTATTACGTATTCTGTCTCTGCAGGTAGGGCGTAAGAATTGTACCTGCTGCCCCCATTGCATGATCGTTGAAGGCGACTAAATTTGGGATATTTTCTTTTCTCTTCTTTCTAAACAACTTTCTTCTTCCTAATCTCTCTTGACAATGCCTCACTGTTGGCCTTTAGTTGAGCGTTCGACCCTGTGAGGAAGGCTTTGGGTTCTGTCCCCTGGCAGAGACATACCAGAGTCTGTAAAAATGGTAGTTTCTACTCCTGCTTAATGCTCAGCAATTTAGGAGTGGGACGACTGGTTCGCCCGTTGTCAGTATAATGTGACCGGTTGGGGTGTCCTGCTGGATGTCTTCGGCAGTATGTTTCAGTGAGGTAGCACTATAAAGTCGGCATCAGTTCCATATCCAGAACATATTGCAGCCTCCCAAAACACACATGCATACACTAAACGCATGCATTTTGCACACAGGGGAGGCCGTCTTTAAATGATCATAGCTGTTGATAGGACGTTAAACAATACTAAACCAAACCAAACCAAACTATTACGTATTCACCTCTCGTTACTACTTAGTATTGAATATCCATCCCTCCTAGCTACTAATTATCCATCCCTCCTGATGGCTGAATATCCAACCCTCCTAGCTACTATTTCAACCCCTCCTAACCGCTATTAAATACCAAGCCTTCCTTTCTATTATATATCGAATCTAATAATTATTGGATCTTCTAAAAAAAGCTATAATCTATCCGTCGTTCCTAGCTATCGGACATCAACTCCTCCTTAAACATTGGGTATCCCCCTCGCCTAATATTTTTGTATCACACCCCTTGTTACTACATTGTATCCAATATCCACCCTTGCCTAACTATCTTTGTATCACACCCCTTGTTACTATATTGTATCCAATATCCACCCTCGCCTAACTATCTTTGTATCACGCCCCTTGTTACTACATTGTATCCAATATCCACCCTCGTCTAACTATCTTTGTATCACTCCCCTTGTTACTACATTGTATCCAATATCCACCCTTGCCTAACTATCTTTGTATCACACCCCTTGTTACTATATTGTATCTAATATCCCCCTGGCCTAACTATCTTTGTATCACAACCCTTGTTACTATATTGTGTCCAATATCCACCCTCGCCTAACTATCTTTATACCATACCCCCTGTTTCTACATTGTATCCAATATCCACCCTCGCCTAACTATCTTTGTATCACACCCCTTGTTACTATATTGTATCCAATATCCCCCTGGCCTAACTATCTTTGTATCACAACCCTTGTTACTATATTGTATCCAATATCCACCCTCGCCTAACTATCTTTATATCATACCCCCTGTTTCTACATTGTATCCAATATCCACCCTCGCCTAACTATCTTACCTCCTCCATACGTTATGTTGCCTAATAAGTTTCAGGGAAGAAAAATGTATACATATGCATGTTGTGACATAGATTGAAGTATGTCCAGGAATTGTATTCCAGTGAATGTCAGAGTTACTGGATAGTATTAATTATTTCATCATAAAACAGTATCGTACTGACAAGTGATTCAGCCCCGCATGCTACAGACCGGGAGTGTTTACCATTTACACCAGTAGATGTATGCGTCAATATTAGTCGTAGACTAATGGTATGACGTCGACAACGGAGTTAACATGAGTTAAGTGGATACTTACTGATGTTCCGCCAGAATGTAGATATGATAAAAACGGTGAACAAAATCCGCATTTTCCAGGAAAACAAAATCCGCGTTCTCCAGGGAAACAAAATCCGCGTCCTCCAAGAAATAGTAACGTTATAACGGACCTCCCTGTGCGATACCTGGACTAGCACACCTATGCGTTAAACACCTAATTAACACCCGAGTACTTGTCACCTGAGGCGACAAATCTACCCGTATTGTTAGCGAGTGATTCCTACCACGATTAGGGCCAGCATCGTTAGACATTTACTCACCCGGAACAGTTAGATATACGGCTAGATAAAAGGACGTCTGGACATATTTATAGCCATTTAAAACGAGCCGGATCGTTAAGCGTGTAAGATGTCCATAGGAAAGATACGGATCAGCTTAATCCGGGGTACAAATACGACCCAGTATTGTAATTGTGATCTAATAGTTGATATATATATATAACGGCTTGAATCACTCCCAGGCACACAACAGATTCCGTTTGATATTCACGCCTTCGTCTGCATTTAAGTTTATTTCAGTCTCTAAAAAAATCATACACGAATTATTCAAGTTTAAAAAGTCCGACAACATTTTTTTTGTAAAGATTTTGTCGATTAAGGCTGCAACTCTATACACAATTTGTTTATCAATTAAGGATGAAAAACGTGTTTTTAACATTTATGATGATATGAATATCATAATTTATGTTTAAATTATGCATTTCAATCCTTGGTATTACGATCAAAGCAACAAAGATTACTTTATAGTTCTCATTTGGTTTTAAATACGTATAAAACAAATTTTGAGTTTACCAACTGTTGAAACATTCATTTTGCAGGGAAAATACCTTCCTTTCTATGGTATATATGTAACAGAGCGCATGATTAATTAAATCGAACCCGGGACCTCTGGTTTACTAGTCTTACGCTCAACCGATCGAGCTTAAGAGAAGTTCTCTATACAGCCGAGCGATATATATTCCGGCTAGTATTTACCAGGGTGTCATCTATATGGTTACCGGTTCCGTGAGGCGTCGAACGTCAATCGGAAGCCATCCGGTAATTTCTCTCCTAGAGTTAACGTCATCATGACATCATGACTGTTTCTCGATAACCTAATAAGAATGACGGAAAGACCCAAACCTTTTGCTTTTTTTTTGGGGGGGGGGGATAAACGGGAATATCACATATCATCTTGGAAATTCAAGTGTTCCGTCCTCTTTACGAAATATCTACTCTGCAGAGAACGAATGGACAGAGAAATCTGTATCCGTAGGTATGTTATCTGGAGTTTAGCTGGGGTTTTTCACTGCAGTGAAGGACTTGTCATATCTTCTCATGTGATAAGGTCCAGTACAGTACTGACCATTCAATTGTTTTTCTTCTATTTACTGCATTCAAAGTCGCATCTGCAGATGAAGCGACGGTAGAATAAGTGGTTATTTTTGTACATTTTAAGCATATTTACTAAGTTATTAATCAACATAATTAAATGATCGACAACAAATTTGTGAGCAGATCATGCCAGAAAATAGCAGAAAACAGTAGAATTTTGTTGAGTTTCCCTTACAAAAAGGCGAACAGCTCTGTTGTCAAGAGCAACGTCAAAAATAACGCTACTAATTCCCACACTTTTTGACGCAGCAATATTTTCGTCATTTCAATTAAAAAAAAGAAGACAAATAGACAATTTAATGGGTTTTCCGTTGAATATTATATACATTTTACTCGTATGGCAAAATATACCGATATTTTCACTGGTGCTTCGCAGTCGTGAAAATTATAGATATTCTGCGAAACTCGTGGAATGTACACGGTGTTCAACGGGAAACGGGAATACAGCTGTATCCTATATTTCTCTTTAGGGTGGTCGGTTGGCGCAGTGGATAGCACACTTGACTTTCACCAAGGCGATTCCCCGATCAGACGTGAAAAGGAATGGGGGGTCACCTGCCCTACCACGTGGGTTTTCTCCGGATTCTCCGTTTTCCTCCCACAGTCAGATACCCTGCGCTCCAACATTCGGACCAACAAGAGTGATAAGTATATGTTTAAAAAACTTATTTCATAATTGATAAATTGTTGTAAAATAAATGAAGTTTATTATATTTTTGTATTTCTCTTACCCTGGATAGATGCAATGTGAGATATCCTCGTCTCAGCCTAGGATGGAGACGGGGGATTCCCAAGTCATAACGTCACGTGAATACCGCATTCATGCCACGTCATCCATGCATTGAGCCCGTAACTTCAGCATTGCATTATATTTACGATAGAGACAACAGGCGAATATGGTTATGCACATATCACGTGACCTTAAAAGAACAGTATGGCGTCACAATTAGCACTAGGCAAGAGAGATCGTATGCAAATTAAGATACAAAAACAAACTTATTTCAAATATAATATATACTACTCACATTTTGCTAAGGATCACCTATATTTTGGGCGAATATGTTAGCCTTCTAAATCGTCTTGTGTGCGTGTGTTCAGTCAACCATAACAGCACGCTTTTTCACGTGTACGCCCCTTTCAAAAGCTAAGCTAGGCAAAGTAAGGCGTTGTTCAAATTGTTAAAGAAATCAATTTGATGAATATTCTTTGCGTGTTTTTGTTTTAATATGGCAAAAGACGAACCAGACAACGGTTTAATGACGGTGAAATGAACAGGGGCATCGGGATGCTGCAAGCTAGCATGTCTCAACGTCAGGTTGCAGCAGACCTTGAAGTGTCTCAAAGTGTGGTGGCAAGAATGTGGAATCGTTTCCAAACTAACGGAAACCTTTCCAGGCTTCATGCTGGAGGTCGTTCTAGGGCGACAACGCAGTGCGAAGACCGTTTTTTGCTCATTCAGGCACGGCTTCACAGGTTCCAGACTGTCACAGCTTTACGAAATGACCTCCTAAATGCTTCTGGTACCCGGGTAGCCACTGAGACAGTTAGGAACCGTCTTCATGATGCTGGTTTAAGGCCACGTAGACCAGCAATACGAGTTCCCTTAACTGCCCGCCATGTTAGGGACCGATTAGATTGGGCCCAAGCTCACGGCACTTCAACTCTTCAGGAATGGAAACCGTTTCTTTTACTGACGAGTCCAGATTCTATCTCGACTTCACCGACAGGCGCGTTACAGTATGGAGAAAACCTGGGAGTGGTTCCAGGCAGGTAACGTTGTGGAACATCACCCTGGTCTAGATTATGATCAACCTGTTCTAGATTATGATCACCCTGGTCTAGACTATGATCACACTGGTCTAGATCATGATCACACTGGTCTAGATTATGATCACACTGGTCTAGATTGTGATCACCCTGGTCTAGACTATGATCACCCTGGTCTAGACTATGATCACCCTGGTATAGATTATGATCACACTGGTCTAGATTATGATCACACTGGTCTAGATTGTGATCACCTTGGTCTAGAATATGATCACCCTGGTATAGATTGTGATCACCCTGGTCTAGACTTTAATCACCCTGGTCTAGACTTTGATCACACTGGTCTAGATTATGATCACCCTGATCTAGATTATGATCACACTGGTCTAGACTATGATCACACTGGTCTAGATTGTGATCACACTGGTCTAGACTTTGATCACCCTGGTCTAGATTATGTTCACCCTGGTCTAGACTATGATCACACTGGTCTAGATTATGATCACACTGGTCTAGACTATGATCACACTGGTCTAGATTATGATCACCCTGGTCTAGATTATGATCACACTGGTCTAGATTATGATCACCCTGGTCTAGAATGTGATCACACTGGTATAGACTATGATCACACCGGTCTAAATTATGATAACTCTGGTCTACATTGTGAACACCCTTTGTCTAGATTATGATCACCCTGGTCTAGATTTTGATAATCCTGGTCTAGATTTTGATCACCCTGGTCTAGACTATGATCACACTGGTCTAGATTATGATCATCCTGGTCTAGATTATGATCACACTGGTCTAGATTGTGATCATACTGGTCTAGACTATGATCACCCTGGTATAGAATATGATCACCCTGGTATAGATTATGATCACACTGGTCTAGATTATGATCACATGGGTCAAGATCATGATCACCCTGGTCTATATTATGATCACCCCAGATATTGGTCTAGATTATGATCACACTGGTCTAAATTGTGATCATCCTAGTCTAGATTATGATCATCCTGGTCTAGATTGTGATAACCCTGGTCTGGATTGTAAACAACCTGGTCTAGATTGTGATCATCCTGGTCTAGAGTATGATCATCCTGGTCTAGATTTTGATCATTCTGGTCTAGATTGTGATCACCCTGGTCTAGATTGTAATCACCCTGGTCTAGATTATGATCACCCTGGTCTAGAGTATGATCAACCTGGTCTAGATTATGATCACCCTGGTCTAGAATATGATCACCCTGGTCTAGATTATGATCACACTGGTCTAGATTATGATCATCCTGGTCTAGATTATGATCACACTGGTCTAGATTGTGATCATACTGGTCTAGACTATGATCACCCTGGTATAGAATATGATCACCCTGGTATAGATTATGATCACACTGGTCTAGATTATGATCACATGGGTCAAGATCATGATCACCCTGGTCTATATTATGATCACCCCAGATATTGGTCTAGATTATGATCACACTGGTCTAGAGTATGATCAACCTGGTCTAGATTATGATCACCCTGGTCTAGAATATGATCACCCTGGTATAGATTATGATCACACTGGTATATATTATTATCACTCTGGTCTAGATTATGATCACCATGGTCTAGATTATGATCATCCTGGTATAGATTATGATCATCCTGGTCTGGATTATGATCACATGATCACCCTGGTCTAGATTATGATCACTCTGGTATATATTATGATCACCATGATCTATATTTTGATCATCCTGGTCTAGATTATGATCACCCTGGTCTAGATTATGATCACATGATCACTCTGGTCTAGATTATGATCACTCTGGTCTAGATTATGAGCAACCTGATCTATATTATGATCACACTGGTCTAGACTATGATCACCCTGGTCTAGAATATGATCACCCTGGTATAGATTATGATCACACTGGTATATATTATTATCACACTGGTCTAGATTATGATCACCATGGTCTATATTTTGATCATCCTGGTCTAGATTATGATCACCCTGGTCTAGATTATGATCACATGATCACCCTGGTCTAGACTATGATCACACTGGTCTAGATTATGATCACCCTGAGTAGATTATGATCATACTGGTCATGATTATGATCAGCCTAATCTGGGTTATTATCACCCTGGTCTAGATTATGATCAGCCTAATCTGGGTTATTATCACCCTGGTCTAGATTTGCGTCACTCTAGACTGGTGTACTGCAAAAAAACTTATCAGGGAGCAAAAAACAAGAAAGGCATTCTAAATATGTTGTACAATATGTTTTATGATATACATTGTATACATAAATAAACAGGTTAACTAGACAGAAACTGAGAATGGCACATAAAAGTAGGAAGGAATTTATATATAAAAAGAAGAGTCCATATCTAACAAGAGATCCTAGAGAGATCTTGGCACCCACCATCATAAGATTTTCATTACTTCTATCTAAGTCCCTAATCTTTTAAATTGCAGTCTTGTCAACATTTAATATATCTCGTGGTAAATTTTGATTAAAATTTCCATACTGCTGGGTTTGAGAATGTCCTTTCAAAATGAGATAATTGTTCCTTGTTTACATCTTGAGAAATAGCAATAACACACTTGAACTCTCAAACTCAAAAAAGGATGCTTGGTGGCCATCTTGTCTTTCTGATCAATTTCAAAATAAATAAAAATGCACAGCTATGTACCCAAGGAATCCTACACAATAGATTTGAGAAAGATGTGTCAATTATTTCTTGAGAAAAGCAATCAATTTTGAACTCCAGAAATTCTATAAAGTTGGCCGCCTGGATCAGTCTCAATGAACCCAAGGGAAACCTTCATACCAAATTTGAGAAAGATCTGTTCTGTACTTCTTAAGAAATTGCTATTTTTTTACTGAATTTTTTATGGTAGGACCATGGATGAAGGGTGGTTTGATCTGATGATGGTGGGCTAGTATATAATGTCCATACCTTATCAACTAAACATAACATTTGTATCTTATAAAACTAGACAATATTATAACAGTGGTCTGCAATAACAACTTAAATATGTTATTAAGTGTTACAGTAATATAAACAGAGATAGCTTTACATAAAAAGTGCATCATAATAATTTGTTTTATAAAAAGCACTTAATAAAATTAGAGAAATCATTTACTTACATGATATTTATATCAGATATATACGAGAAAATCACAGAATAAAAAGCTCCGCGTTTAATTTGTGAAGGAGTAAAACCATAAAAGATAAGACTGCATTGTTTAAGGCCTTTTGTACAGACCACCAAATGTCACCTGTGAAGTAAATTACACAGTAAAATCGTTGTGTCTTTGCAGAGGTGTTTTAACAATTAGCAGAACACTGATGTATTAGCAATGTAGCAGATTATACAGACTACATATATCTCTTTCTCTGTAACAACCTAACGTAATTCGGTTTCTTAAGGAGCCCCATACCACTGCCAAAAACAAAAATTACGCACTCAGCATACCTGTAAACTGACCCGTTTTCGTCTGATCTCGATCGATATTTCGAACTCTCACCCGATCGAGTCATCGTTTCTCCCATAAACCATACTTCCGATATGACCCGACAATTAGATGCCGACAAACTGGAAATGCAAAATCGTAAGTAGTGCCACTGGAATTTTTCTCTCTCAGCTACCTGGTTAACAGTAGACAATGGCCTTGTCATACTACAGTAGCATCCAGACCCAATCCAAGGGGAGGTAACTCTATGTACCAGTATGAAATCTACCATGGAATTTTTATTGTTTTGTCTGCAGTGGGAAAGGGACCCTTAACAGGAATAAACATTCAATATTGCGTACAAACATCAGCAGGGAAGTTGTAAACAGTGTTTATTACATTTTCAGCAGATACAACACCTTGTTTACAAATCACAGACATGAACTTATGTTGCAATGTCAAGGTAAAGACAATGAACTTTGACCTACATTAGTATAAGACCTTAGTCATTATATAAAAGCTTTATATAACATTGATTAAAATTGTTGAAATGTATTGAAGGTAAAGGGTACCAACCATAATTATTTGACTATTATACACCCCTACGTAAAGGCCTCCCTTTCCTCATTCACCCCTGAAGACACACTTGAACTTTTCCAATTTAAAGGGTGGAATAGTTCATTATGAAATTTCTTGGGTGAATGAGTTGAACCAAAAATATGACTTTATGTCAGTTTACCAGATTTTAGCTGAGCACAGACTAAGCTCGATGTTATATCCTTTTCTTGTTCAACTGATTATTTTAATTAGTCATTTCTGGAAAAAAACCTAGCTCTCCTTATATATTCTAATTCATTCACCCCCGAAATTTCATAATGAACTTTTCCAACCTTTGAATTGGAAGCGTTCAAATGTTTCTTCAGGGGGGTGAATGATTTAATTCTGCAATAAGTCATAGTATATATCTTAATCTCTTTCGAAGAAAAATATGCCAGATATAAAAGGCCTTTAAATGATAAGATCCAAGTCTAATATTGAGGACGAGGATGAAGCAGCATACCTTCACATATTGACATCATTATATCAACACTAACATATTTAAACAGTCACTTCAATATTACAGGAAACATTAAGCTATGTCAACTTCGATCTTTGACATTAAAAGTTTGCATAATATTTTAATAATAAGCTTCGTGATAAATTGTCCTATACAGAATTGCATATAAAATGTACATATTGTTATTTATCAAATAAAAAACCTTGAATCATTTAACTTTGAAAAAATAATATTAAAACATGTATATATTTTACCATGGCTCTCCTTTGTCCAATTAGTATTTTTTTAATTGATTTAAATGGTGTGATTTATTATAGGTATCATGGGGGTTCAAAAACTTTTTGCCAAGAGACACGAACTCTTTTAAAATAAAAATAAAAAAATATATATGAAATCTTGAAAAACACATCAAAATAAAAATTGGAAAAAAAAGAAGTTAAGATATGTTTCCAATGTGCCAAGTGTAGTAAGAGCAATAATTTTACCTCCAATCATAAGAAATATTGTAACTAAACCATTTTTGTATATAAAGGGTATAAGTAATCTTTCGTTTTTTGCATGAGATTGATGAAACATGTCAAGAAGTTTTAATTTTCCCAAGGCTCTGTCAAAGTAAAGCAAAGCCTCAGAGACAGGAGTATATGCACAAATTCTCAAAACATATTTTTTCTGACCAGCACGAAGTCTTCAGCCTCATCAGATTACTTAACGTTTATTGTCTTAAATGCGACGGCTGGTGTCACAGTGTTGAGTTGATTATTTCAATGTGGTGTTATAATACGACCAAGTCTATAGGGATAACAGACGAGAGATTTCTCAAAGCTACTCACATAAAATTTTATTGCAAAGGGAATTATTATTTAAGAACAGTCAAAACAATAACAGTAGTGTTGTGTTTCCCATCTACTAAACCAAACAGTTGCTAGGGTTGAATACACTATGTAGAGTTAACCCCTCTTCATTTCAAACAATTTGTAGAGTTAACTCCCCTTCACATCAACACTATGAAGAGTTAACTCCCCTTCACATCAACACTATGGACAGATAACCCCTCATCATTTCAAACAATTTGTAGAGTTAACTCCCCTTCAAATCAACACTATGTAGAGTTAACTCCCCTTCACATCAACACTATGAAGAGTTAACTCCCCTTCACATCAACACTATGTAGAGTTAACTCCCCTTCACATCAAACACTATGAAGGGTAAACTCCCCTTCACATCCAACACTATGAAGAGTTAACTCCCCTTCACAGCTAACTATATGTAGTGTTAACCCCCCTTCATACCAAACACTATGAAGGGTTAACTCCCCTTCACATCCAACACTATGAAGTGTTAACTCCCCTTCACATCTAACTCTATGTAGTGTTAACTCCCCTTCATACCAAACACTATGAAGAGTAAACTCCCCTTCACATCCAACACTATGTAGTGTTAACTCCCCTTCACATCTAACTCTATGTAGTGTTAACTCCCCTTCATACCAAACACTATGAAGAGTAAACTCCCCTTCACAGCTAACTCTATGTAGAGTTAACTCCCCTTCATACCAAACACTAAGTAGAGTTAACTCCCTTTCATATCAAACACTATATAGAGTTCACTTCCCTTCACATCAAACACTATGCCTTCAATCCTGGAAATTATTTTGGAATAATATTAATTACAACAGTATTTCATAAAACAACAATTACAATAACCATTATGAATACTCATGATATTTGACAAACTGTACCTGTTTGAATATGAATACAAAAATAAATCAAGTCAAATCATTTAGCAAAATATATTAATAAGTAAATTGTTTAGTAAATCTATACTGGTCCATCAATTAACAGGATAAAGTGTTTATTATGATGATTTCAAATGTGATAACTCAACCAATGTTGAATACAAAATTGCTGCTTTGAAAAAATGTGAAAAAAATCAAAACAGTATATATTGCAGTGACAAATACAACAATGAAATGTAATATTGACAAATGATATATTTATTAGTTCAATCACATCTGAGGGGACATAACTCTGTAATCAAACCTGTCACATAACCGTTATCAATGATATATGGGTGGTAGTATATATAGCCCTGTAATTGGTTACTACTACCAGTGTTTTAATGTGACAGTCCCATTAGGTCCCTTTTCTGTTTGTAAAAACTAGATACATTTAAGTAACGTCATATCAGAATAAATCTGTGATATGTTCAACAATATTTTTAATAAAAGAAGTTGATATAAAGCACCTGTGCCAACAAATTTTAATAAAATATTGCTTGGTTATGCCAGAGACATATAAAGCCATAGTAGATGCGTCCCTGGTTACGCAGAAACTAAAATCTTGAACGGAGATGAGTATGAGGGGATCTAGAGAAACATGTGGATGTAGTGCAATGTTTAAGCTAGAATTGGACTGTGGAGAACATCTGCTGTCCATGTAAGTTTGGCTTTGGAAGACAATGTTGTGACAAGCTGGCTGACTCTAGTGAGTACACAGGGGTATACTTGATTAAACTTGTGTGGTGTATCTTTCATTCTGGTTAATAGACATATTTTACTCATGGCCGATGTATAGCAATACATCAACTTTTATTTTTAAAGTATACATGTTTCAGAAAATACATCTTTTGAAAAGTATTTAGTAAAACCTGTGTTTATCGTTTGCCTTCCAAGTCATTCAGCGAGTAAAATGTGCAGCATTTAACTTTAACTCATTCACCCCTGAAATTTTGTGATGAACTATTCCAACCTCTGAATTGGAAGAGTTCAAATGTGTCTTCAGGAGTGAATGAGTTAAATTAAAACAAACACCTAATGATCGGATACCAGTCAATCCTGTAGAGTTATATAAAACAATGCCGGGCGTATATACCGGTACATAATGCTGAATGCTACAGTAGACAAAGTCTGTGTGTTTTTGTGTAGTCCATATGTAAGAGAAATCCACATAGCTGCAGTATCAGAAATTTAGACAACATTAGAATATAAAGTTACACAACTTGGTAAGTAAAGGGTTTATTTAGACAAATATCATCAACATACAGTCTGAATGAGATTCCAACCCAGGACCGGTACATTCTAGACAGTCACTAGCTGGTCACTGGTCACTGACTCGGGCCAGTGACATCATACAAGAATCTAAATGGAATAACAGCCATTTTTGAAATCTGTTTCAGTTTGTAATACAATAATGGCAGAATAAAAATTAAGTCAAATATGACACGACTTTCAATATTTTACCCTTTTTAAAATTTCACTTGAAGAATGCCAGCATTTATCAGATAAATTCCGATACAAGTTCTGCTTGTCATTTGAAATTTCAATTTTGGGTGAAATTTCCCACACATCATCGGGACACAAGTCCTTGACCCAGTAAAATGTCAGTAAATATACCCGTCAAGTACGTCCCTTATATCTGTGTTAGTTACTTCCGTGACAGGCTCCTCTGAAACACTGTACTGACGTGCTGCTATCCATTAGATTCACAGGTGAATTTTAAATACAAAATTGATCAATTTACACATATAACACTGCTAGCATTACACATTGGTGGTACACAGTTTGATCCTTCCATTGGGATACAGTCATCAAGGGTTCACGTCCAGGGACAATTCAATGTAGGTTGTGTTGTTAAATACAATCTAGCTCCACCTTGAAGAAATCGCACTCATGAGTAGAAACTTAACACACAGACATCACTTTGGAGTATTCCTTGTCATATTTCCATCAAAATCTTCCTTGAAATATTTGAGTAAATCTTACAGCTCCTTATCATTCCATGAAAAGATCCTGTTGACGAAAAATGCCTTGATCAGTTAAATCTCATCCTTCTCTGTCAGTAATCATGATTGTCTTCAGAGTAGTACAATGACCTGGAGGTGCGGTCAATACCAACAAAATATTCCACACAATATGTCAGCTTTATTTCAAAGCCTGTTTATGGCCTGGATCAAGAGTACACATCGCCGTAATCCTGTGAGGCCAGTAACAGTCTGTATCGGAGACGTAAGTTTCGTGCCCTGACATGGGAGTTGACGATTTCCATGGTGTAGTCTGACGGGAACCAGCCTCTCTCTCCATCACGGATTCTCTCCCCTTCATACCAGCCTGTAATATCCAGTGTCAATAGTTATAATAATAATAAAAATAATTTGAGGTTCTTATATACCACTTTATCACAACCTAGTTTGAAGGTCGTCTCAAAGCAGTTCACAAATTATTATCCGTGGTTATAGGGCCTTTGCAACAAGCCAATATCTTTCTCAACTCCCTGGGGAGCATACAACCAGCCGGTGCTGCCAATTTCGGTGCTCACAGCTAGCATTCTACAAATCTAGCACTGCCCAACAACGTACTCATTTACAGCCGAGTAGACTGGAACAAGCGGAGTAAAGTATCCTGTTCAAAGATACAACACAGTGCCGTGACGTGACTCGAACCCGCAACCCTTCGGTCACGAGTCTGGCGTCCTACCCCTAGACTAACCGTGCCTCCTAATAGTTATGTAAGATTTTAATGTAGAAACAGCACAGTGACTTATCTATCTATATTTCTACTACAGTGTAACAATATTAGTTCACTGGTAAATGTATTACTGGACAAAAGACAATGCACAAGTCCTGATAAATAATCGTTTCAAAATGAATCGCCCTATATAAAACCACGCTGCATTATAGGTAAGTCAGGGAAAAATGCATTCATTTAATGAGGTAGAATAGACATAATCAACCTATGTTTGTATATTATAGCATATTATATAACTAGGACTGGAAAATATTGTAAAGAGATTTATCTGAGTATCATCCTTGTTCCACCATCAGCGTATACGTCTGTAGATCATTCGCTAAATCACTAAAATACATCATGAAATAGACCTGTTTCACATTGTGACTCCTAAATCAACATTACAACAGAGATTGCCATTCAATCTGCAGATGATTCCATACATTGAAAACATTTAATAAATCTTTAAAATTATTATACACCAACTGTTAGTAGATTTTATTCATTTTCATTTCAAAATTGTAAGAAACCAATGAAGACAGCAGGACAGTAACAGTCATGTATATATCTTACCGTCACCCATTTTCTTAAAGACGTTGATGACATCCGATTCCTCAAGACTGAGTTCATCAGGTTCCGTAGCCGAGTACTTCTTTGTGCATTGTACTTGAGGACAATCTGAGGACAAACAAACATAATGTTGAGTGTATTTATAAGACTCTTTCATGCCTAGGGTTGTAGGTAGGGCAATTCAACCAAGTTTTCAAATTTGGTAAACCCTTGGGCATGACAGAGTATTTGTCCTTCATTCCAACTACCGTACCAGAATAAGTTCAGAAACCATGAAAATGCGCTTGGACTGGCTACTATTTTGAAAATATCAACTACCCCCCCCCCCCCTGTTTTTTTTAAGAAAACAAATATGTCAGCAGGATTTAGCATACCTCATATTAATAAACACAGTATGTGCAGAAAAGTTGATCTCCTCTTTCTAACGAGTAGGGTAAACATATTCTAAAAGGATTTCATTTCATCACGACGCCTTTTCCGCATTGCGGCATCAGAGATCAGAGTTTTCGAAATACGTGACGTCAAGTCATTGTTGAGCCATTGTGACGTCATGTCATGTGAAATGGGGTGTAAGAAATTTCCTACACCCCTTTCTTACCCTGGACAGCTCTATCTTACACACAGGGAAATAAGAGAAAATGTATCATACAGTAATGGTTATGACACCAAGAAAACCGTCCTTTACAAACCAGTACAGTTCATGTTGAAGATGATCTCTCCCTTTTTACACAAACTTTACAAGTCTCTAGAAAAAAGCCTTTTTACACACAGGTCAGATTTATAGGTCAACTGACCAGTGTCCATTTTGCTCTTGTTTGACGGATTAGGTCCCAAGAGTAAACCAACATTTATGAAAAACTTATCATACCTGCCATATGTTTCCCGGATGAGTCAGTGATTTTGAAAGAAAAAGACATTTATTTTCAAGAGTGATATTTAAAATAACAAAGATAATAATTTAAGGTCTAATTTTAATTTTATTTAACTAGGATTTAATTGTATTTTGCACATGGATAAATCCAGTGGTGACTTCTCGATTTAATCCACATACTGGCAATGAGAATTTTTTTCTCATGACAAACCCTGAAAAAGTGTTATAATCTATAATTATCATGACTTCGACCTTGACAGAGTTGAGTATCATGACTGTGACACTGACAGAGTTGGGTCTCATGACTGTGACCTTGACAGAGTTAAGTCTCATGACTGTGACCTTGAAAGAGTTAAGTATCTTGACTGTGACCTTGACAGAGTTAAGTATCATGACTGTGACCTTGACAAAGTTAAGTATCTTGACTGTGACCTTGACAAGAGTTGAGTATCATGACTGTGACCTTGACAGAGTTAAGTCTCATGACTGTGACCTTGACAGAGTTAAGTATCATGACTGTGACCTTGACAGAATTAAGTATCATGACTGTGACCTTGACAAAGTTGAGTATCATGACTGTGACCTTGACAGAGTTAAGTATCATGACTGTGACCTTGACAGAGTTAAGTATCATGACTGTGACCTTGACAGAGTTAGGTATCATGACTGTAACCTTGAAAGAGTTGAGTATCATGACTGTGACCTTGACAGAGATAAGTCTCATGACTGTGACTTTGACAGAGATAAGTCTCATGACTGTGACCTTGCCAGAGATAAGTCTCATGACTGTGACCTTGACAGAGTTGGGTCTCATGACTGTGACCTTGACAAATTTGAGTATCATGACTGTGACCTTGACAGAGATAAGTCTCATGACTGTGACCTTGAAAGAGTTAAGTCTCATGACTGTGACCTTGACAGAGTTGGGTCTCATGACTGTGACTTTGACAGAGATAAGTCTCATGACTGTGACCTTGACAAGAGTTGAGTATCATGACTGTGACCTTGACAGAGTTAAGTATAATGACTGTGACTTTGACAGAGATAAGTCTCATGACTGTGACCTTGAAAGAGTTAAGTCTCATGACTGTGACCTTGACAGAGTTAAGTATAATGACTGTGACTTTGACAGAGATAAGTCTCATGACTGTGACCTTGCCAGAGATAAGTCTCATGACTGTGACCTTGACAGAGTTAGGTATAATGACTGTGACCTTGACAGAGATAAGTCTCATGACTGTGACCTTGAAAGAGTTAAGTCTCATGACTGTGACCTTGACAGAGTTGGGTCTCATGACTGTGACCTTGATAAATTTGAGTATCATGACTGTGACCTAGACAGAGTTAGGTATCATGACTGTGACCTTGACAGAGTTGAGTATCATGATTGTGACCTTGACAGAGTTTGGTATAATGACTGTGACCTTGACAGAGTTCGGTATCATGACTGTGACCTTGACAGAGTTGAGTATCATGACTGTGACCTAGAGATAGCCAATACCTACCCCATTCCTCGTAGATTTTCTCAGAGTCGTTTTCCTTGGCTGATGGACTCAGAGAGTCTATCCATCTTGTTCGGTCACTCCTGTAATAGGCACAATAATGTTTTTTTATAGGGAAGTTTGGATTACAGTATAGACCGAATCCAATCTTAAATATTTATAACATCTTTGATTACAAAATATGACTGTTACATACTATATTTTACCAAATAAATGACACATCTGATTTGATTTTAGCAATGCTCTCACTTCTCTGTTCAAAGCAATATAATTAAACTTACCAAATTCATCATAATTTCACCAAGGATGCTTAAAAATGGCTTAAATGTGAGTGCTTTAAAGGATAGTAAAATGTGAGTTATGATAGAAAAAGTTGTGGGTGGGGGCTTATTACGGCAAATGCGGTAATTAAAATGAGTGTTTATAATAGGCATTTTTAGAGCATTGTGGGATTCTGCAATCATTCTAAGAAAATGTTACCAAATTGCTGTGGGGAGGGTACTTATCTGTAGGACTGTCTTACTGTCATTTGCTTCTCTTCATAAGTTATAATCATGAACAAAACAATAGCAAAGTTAAAGTCTTACGTAGATTTGCAGGAAAGGATGAGCTCGGTATGTTTCTGTTCATGGTTTTCCAGCAGGACTACCACAAAGAGATTTTTACATCCGCTTGGTGCGCCCTGAGGGAGGTACCGCGACTTGTCAGTACTTTCAAGCATCTCAACATGTAGGGAATTTCTTGGCGCGTGATCATAGACCACATACTGGGTATTACTGGAAAATAAAGCCTAATGTAAACACTCTCATTACGGTTCTTCAAAGAAATTATTTACAACATGGTCATCAACTAGAAAACTTCCTCCCTGTTTTATAAACTTTCAGTCAATGATAAATATAAAGTTTTACTGATCAATCTGTTGTACGAAGATCTGACATCACATCTATAGATGCTAAAATACGCATAATTACCTCATTGATTAATTAAAGCTCTAACTTTCATGGTCATTATTGAATTTAAAAAACTTTCAATGGCCATTCAAATAATTCAGCTATTGTAAGATCAGAAAAGTTCTGTTTGTGTTTTGTTTGTGTTTTAGTCATTGTTTAAGAACAGAAATGAACCTTTAGAATTATTAAGTATTTTACATTACTGTATAAACCATAGTGTCGCAATAAACAAAACTTAATCCTAACAACTTTCTGCTTTTATAGTTATTTTTTAATCAAGATGGCCTTTAAAGACAGAAAAGATTGCAATCTTTGCAGTTTAATTAACCCATTCACCCCTGAAGACACATTTGAACTCTTCCAATTCAAAGGTTAGAATAGTTCATTATGAAATTTCAAGGGTGATTGAGTTAAGGTAAAGGGTACCACTTCATCAGTTATAAACTGATTTATGAAGAAGAGTTCTACTCCCGAGTTTTTTTAACTTGGATTATCTCCCTTCTATATAGACGATGGAACAGCATTATCTCCCTTCTATATAGACGATGGAACAGCATTATCTCCCTTCTATATAGACGATGGAACAGCCAAAGGAGGTTTTCTGAAGGAGTCTCTTCCCCTGTCTAGTTTTTCATATGCTTGCAGCTCGTAAACTGGACAGTCATTTTGATGCAGTGCTTATTTAATTGCTGTATGGGAACACTAGTAAATTGTAGGCTTTGAAATGTAAAAGTCCCAAGTCGGACACTATTGGTTTTCTTCTCTTTCTTTTCAAACATTCAAATTTCAAACAACTACAATTCTGTAAAATGCATGGCAACATGCGATATTTTTTAGTGAATGTTTCATTTGAAAAGTACATAAATAAAAATTTAGCAGTAGCAACTCATTTACCCCTGAAATTTTATAATGAACTATTCCAACCTTTGAATTAGAAGAGTTCAAATGTGTCTTCAGGGATGAATGAGTTAACTTACTGGTACCCTTTGCATTAAGCCAAGAAGTTACTGGTATGCAAATCAACAGAATTTAAAGCTAACCATGCCTTGTTATTAAAGGTGCTTGTAACCTGTCTAAGTCAGGTGTTCACCTAAACACTTCAGATATTAAAAAGCCTTACATGCTTGCAGTAAAAAGGTGTGAAATAAAATTAGGCAGAGACGGACCTTTTTTTCTGAGTAATTAACAAGTTTGGAGGGAGACCTGCAATTTATCACATAGCGAACACAAATGAAAATTATGTAGCGTAGAGTGCATAATTAAATTTATGTGATCTCATGTGGACACCGTGTTTTTCTACTGCATGTGGCTAAAAACTAAGGCGAGTTGTTTCCCTTGTTCCATATCAGTTTCAGTTGAAAACCGGTTTTTGTTACCTCCCCTGACTATAGTCAGAACGAGGCCCGCCATTACATGAAGATCACAGAACAAAGCTAGCTTCAGCATCAATTGAGACCCAATTTTTCTCCTTCATCTTTTTAACTTTAATATCAGCAATTTTCTTGCATCTTGCCTTTAATCAAAATTGATTATTGTCTATCAAAGAACATTTTAACAATGACATGTTACACTGTTGTTATTTAGAGTTCATTGCAAGTATCTTTTAGATTCTGTTGTAAATAAATAAAAAAAAAAAAATGAAAAAAAATGAAAATTGGAGTACTTAATATGACTTGTATATCATTAAAAATAACACAAATTTCGGGATTATGATTAAAGAATAAAATGTTATGCAAGAGCCTTAACGTTATTAGAACAACAGCCCACACAACACAAATTACCCCAACACAAGTTTATTCTTCAATCTTGACATCCATATTACAACGGGGTAATAATGAATAAACACATTTGTTTAAGCTGGGATATTTGTTCTCTCTTCCTTCCTGTCATCAATTTCATCCTTAAAATGTCATGTTTACGTACTTAACTACAGCACATGTAGTCAATGATCTAAACTGTCAGAACAATCACACTAACGTCAGAAAAACAAAAGCAAAATAAAAACTTAAAAAATAATTTATCACAAGCACTATTAGTTAATCTCAAGCAGTATTAAAGAATCATACGCATTTCATTTGTAATTGAATTTTGTTATCATTATAACAAATCTTTAAGCACATCACAAGAAAATCAATGCTTTAAAAGCTGCAAGATTCAAAACAAAATGGGAAAATGTAATCCTCTAGGGGCTAGAACAGGTGAGTAGCCATAATAAAACCCAGATATAGTGCAGTCGTCACATATACTTGTGGTTTGAACAAGAGGAAGGGACCCTGATTCAGATCACATAACAATTAGAGTAACTATAACTCCTTTCTTTAGTAATACCTGTCACACCTGTAGCAAAAGTTCCATTAGTGTACTGACTTAATTGGGCTATAGGATTTCTTATTGCTTCATTAGGTTTGAAATAAACAACTGCAATCATGCTGAACAAAGGTTGAGTTAAATGTTATGTAGGACAAAACATACCCTAACTCGTAATTTGATGCAGGTAGGTACTTCCTTGCCTTATTTGCGAGCAAATAATATAAAACAATTTTAGATTTTTCATCATCTGATTGGTTCAAAATGTCTTATTTATTAAATTTACAAGTTCATTATCTGATAAATTTCGTAAGTACGCCCCGGTTGCTTAACCCTTTCACCCCTATGTAACTTTAGTAGACTCTCCCATCCATTGATCTGGATTTTACCAATGCTTTGTGAAAATTCAACTAGTTGCACATTAGAAGCGATTCAAGGCTTTTAAAGGAAAAACAAATCTTCAAAACAGATCAATTTTATTTGTCTCCACTAAGGTATGGCAGTCTCCACTAAGGTATGGCAGTCTCCACTAAAGTATGGCAGTCTCCACTAAGGTATGGCAGTGAAATTATATCAGAGGTTAAATATTCCTTAACCCTTTCACCACTGTGGACCACAATGGACTCATCCAGATAAATGTATGGAAGAGTCTACTAAAGTTACCTAGGGGTGAATGGGCAAACCACTGGCTAACAATTACTTTAGCCAAACTTTTGGAAACAAAGGCCAGATTTTGCTCCTATGAAAAACTATAATTTTTTAAAGTCACTCAAAGAGTTAGTTAAAACACTGCTTCACAAATTTAAATCGTTACTTGGAACAGAAGGAAAATGAAACACATTACAAAATATCAATCAAGTTTCAATCAAGACCTACAATAACTGCTTCCTTATTTCTTTAATAGTGAAATTGTCTTTAATCATAGATGATCTTTTGGAATGGAAGTCCCTCAAATTAAACATGCTTTAATTTTGCCACAAAGGATTTTTTTTTAAAAATGTTTACTCCATCAAAAGTATTCAAAGTGCCACTGAAACAACCTGAAGCATACAAATTGACTTTCTCATATGAACATTTGCAGTAAGAAAAATGGTCTTTAACCCTTCCACCCCTATGTAACTTTAGTAGACTCTACCATTCATTGATATGGATGAGCCCATTATGGTCTACAGTGGTGAAAGGGTTAATTAAAGAGGTCAGTCATCAATCCATTTTTCTGTAGGAAACCATGCTGTTGAAGGTTCAAGATATCTGTTAACACTGCCAGAGAATGTTTTAGTACAAGTTGAAATATGCAGGGCAAGGTTTTCCAACCAATTTGAAAAGATTGTGATAGAACTTCCATGCGACAAGACAGGAATGGTAGCGTACTCACAGTAGCTCATTAATGTTCTGAGGCGTGAAACTATACGAGAATCTATTTCTGAAATTGATTAACATTCGAGACTGACGAAATATTCAATGTGAAAAAATAGTTTTAAAATACATGCACGTGTGCTGAATAAGATTGCCTCCCTTCCTTCACAACACACAAATTCTAACAAATGCATAAAGATTACGTACCCATAAAGAAAAGATTGAACGAACATTATAAAAGATTTTGCAAAATGAAAATGGACCTTAGAAAGTACACCATTACACATAACCTTTGAATTGGGTGCTTGTTTCCTAAAAACCAGTCTTTCATCGGCCATATTGTAACTAAGAAGTTTTGTTGTAATATATTTTTTCAGTAGATTTTATTTAACTTTCTCTAAAGAAATAATGAACAGGATTTAGTATCTATTACGTAATGAATTTCTTTAATAGTGAAATTGTCTTTAATCAGAGATGATCTTTTGGAATGGAAGTCCCTCAAATTAAACATGCGTTTATTTTGCCACAAAGGATTTTTTTTTTTACCTGTTTATTGTCTATCTGATAGAATGAATCAGCAGTGACCAATTAACTGACATTATCAGTAGAGTGATTTCCACTTAATATCATGTTGCTTAATGTCAAATTTGTTAATATAATGTTTTCTATTACAGAGGTGTCTTTATGACCAATCTTTGTGTGGATACATATATGTACACTGAAACTGGATACTAGAACTGTTCTATTTTCACAGAAAGACAGTGTTCTGTTAATGTCAGATTTTGCTTAATATCACATTCTGACACATGATATTAAGAGGAATGCATTGTATATATATATTTTGTCCCTCTGGGTATACTGATTCTGATAGACGAAATAGCTTGAGGATCGAAAATGGAAATGGAAGTTGAACAAGTTTCCAAGATATAGTTAAGTTTTAGTTAAGCTGATTTCTACCTGATACGACATTGTGTTAATTGTGACGCACAACAAAAACTGAAATAAATTAGATACACAAGAATATATTTCTATTTCCAATACACACAATTTATCCAAACTTACTGCATTCATAGCACAATAAAATTTGCTGTGCCTTCTGGTGATTGTGACATCAATTTCTTAACCTTGTGACCTTGAAAGCAGGTCAAGGTCATTTATTTGAGGAAACTTTATAGCACTCTGTCATGAAATAAATTCTGCTGATCATGATTACTTGCTGCTATCAGGGTCTGGGTTTTTTACTACATGTTCATCATAAGATGACTTTGTTTCAATGTAGAAACAAATCCTTATTAACTCATTCACCCCTGAAGACACATTTGAACTCTTCCAATTCAAAGGTTGGAATAGTTCATTATTAAATTTCAGGGGTGAATGAGTTAAAAGGTGTTACTATACAGAAACATTATGAAAACTGTAATAATAAATTCAATAAGTTCCATTCTCCTGCCAGTATAACGATCAGTGACGAACAATACAGCACTCTCAAGCCCATGTGTGTCACTGAATTATACCGACATGAAAATATACCCTTCATTATGTACACCATTTGATACGAAGTAAACATTCTCTCCATTTCACTGAATTTTTTAATGAAATCATATTCTGCTTTAGCCCATCCTCGATATCCAGGGGTTACACTCACTTTCACTCTCTGCACCCCTGGAATATGTCATAACAAAATTGAAGGCTCAATGTGCACCATCTTGTGGATGAGACGGGAAGACCAGTTTGATTCCTTGATGTACATCAAAAGAATCCCGCTGTCGCGTAACGGTAAGATTTCTGGCTTTGAAGTCGGGCGTCGATCCTCTGTAATCTTCAAAGGACAAGTATAAGACTAGTGATTGGTCATTTTTTTTTTACCTGACACCAATCAAAAAGCTAGCTGTGTGCCTTCAATTTCGCTATGACATAGTCCAGGGGTGCAGAGTGCAAAAGTGGGCGTAACCCCTCGAGTATGGAGGATGGCTTAAGCCTGTTATTTCATCAAATTGTAGACAGTTTAAATCAATTACAAGTGCTTATGAAATTATACAAAAGGAACTAAGAAATGTTTAAAAAAGAAAACGTTAATTTTGATTTTAACCACAAATACAGGCCAGTCATACCTTTTCTTTTTGCTGATGAGGATGATATCGTTGAACAGGAAGATGTTTATGGCTTGTTTTGTTTTCCCCTTCCTCAGTGGAAGTCGGCTTGACGTGTCTGTTAGTACCCTCGTTAACTCTCCTTGTTTCAGCAAATATCGGGAAGCAGATATGAGTGGGATTTCCTACAAAAATATCACCGAACATTGTTTTAAACATTTATCTCCCTTTATAGCCTAGAATGCCATTAGGAATATTGACGTTCAAAACTGTGTCGAATCTGCCTGCATCTCGGCCATCAACTTTGGCAGTATCTTGCCCACTATTTTTTCTTTTTAACCTTTAACCTCTAATAAATTGACAGCAGTTGCAGTTCAAACCGTTGTAGTTCAACCCACTGACATCGAGCAACACTCTAAAAATCAAAATTTGATTATTGCCTATAATTTATGTTCCATATAAAATATAAAAAAGCCATTTGGATTGATATGTCTCCCCTATGCCCTTGCTTTGACCATCAATGTACATATCAGACAAACTGACTTAAATGCAAAAACTTGATGTTGACGGAGATGCTGACAAAGTCAATGGACAATGAAAGGTAGGCAGCTCCAAGCATTTGATGAATGGGTAGAGATGTACAACCTACGATTCATATATGGTCCAAGTTTGGTTGGTCTAGCACTTATACTTTCAGTGAAACTAACTTAAATGCAAAAACTTAATGTTGACCCCGCCGCCGGAAAAGCAACACCTTAGTCACGCTTCTGCTACTTCGTGGCGAAAAGACAAAAATAAAAATTTGATTGTTGCCTATAGCTTTAGTGCCATATAAGATTTATATAAATGTTTATGCAGATGTCATGAAAATGCCTTCATAACATGAATTTGACTAGTTTATCTTATTAACCCTTTCACCACTGTTGACCCTAATGGACTCATCCCAATCAATGCATGGAATAGTCTACTGATGTTACATTGGGGTGAAAGGGTTAATAGTTCAGTCGCAGACCTTCAGGATCACAGACCTGACCTTCGGGTAGACTTACTTTGACCTTGAATTCCAGGTTTTGTACAAGGCGGCACATCTGTTCTGTCTGTTGCATCTTTTTGGCTCCATCGTTACATTTCCGTACCACCTGGACCATAAATACAAAACAACTTTAATATTTCCATAAATCAGCTAGAAGGTTGGTATTTCTCTATTCAGGCTGGATTGTACAACATGTCTATAGGAGGCACGGTAGTCAAGTGGTAGAACGCCGGGCTCGTGACCGAAGGGTATGATACTTTACTCCGCTTGTTCCAGTCTACTCAGCTGTAAATTAGTATGTGGTTGTCCAGTATACTAGACAACAGAAAAGGGCTCATACTCCAAAATCTTGTCCAGTATACTAGACAACAGGGAAGGGCTCATACCCCAAAACCTTATCCAGTATTCTAGACAACAGCTGGTAAGGGCTCATATCCTAAAATCTTGTCCAGTATACTAGACAACAGCTGGTAAGGGCTCATACCTCAAAATCTTGTCCATTATGCTAGACAACAGGTAAGGGCTCATACCCCAAAATCTTGTCCATTATACTAGACAACAGGACAGGGCCCATACCCCAATATCTTGTCCATTATACTAGACAACAGGACAGGGCCCATACCCCAATATCTTCGTCCATTATACTAGACAACAGGGAAGAGTTCATACCTGGAATCTTGTCCAATACACTACACATCAGGGAAGGCAGTTCTTGAGATAGTGTCCGGTATATAAATTAGACCACAATTCCTTCAGAATCATTTGAAGATTTTTATCAGTTGAAGAATTTTAAAGGGGACCAGGCCAAGCATTAGTGAAAAACAGTAAATTTGCGTCACTAATTCCCTACCCTGTTTAGTGCCTCGAGAGCTCGTGTGGCACCCTTGTGCTGCTCAGTGGCTGGCTCCATGCGGTGACAGATGGCGTCCACAAGGAGGGGCAGGCGCGTGATTCTCTGCATGGGAAGGAGGAGGAAGGACATCATGGGCAGACCCTGACAGTCAGGGTAGCTCTCCATCCGCCGAATCGCATCCGAAAACTCCGGCTTCTTCCTGTAAAGTCAGCGGCAGGTTTGTGACGTAATCCCACATATAATAACACAGTATCATAATATCAACTAAACACTATTGTCATACAAGTTGTTTATCATATAACAGCTAATGGTTGAACTTTTTGTTTTGTTTTTAAGCTGTGCATCAAAAATTAATGAATTTTTTTTTACGATGTTTCAGGAGATTATTCTTTAGTTTACGATATTTCACATGATTAATCCTTTAGTTTACGATGTTTCACGTGACTATTCCTTTAGTTTACGATATTTCACATGATTAATCCTTTAGTTTACGATATTTCACGTGATTATTCCTTTAGTTTACGATATTTCAGGTGATTATTCCTTTAGTTTACGATATTTCACATGATTAATCCTTTAGTTTATGATATTTCAGGTGATTATTCCTTTAGTTTACGTGATTATTCCTTTAGTTTACAATATTTCACGTGATTATTCTTTAAGTTTACGATATTTCACGTTATTATTCCTTTAGTTTACAATATTTTACGTGATAATTCCTTTAATTTATGATATTTAAGGTGATTATTCCTTTAGTTTAGGATATTTCACGTGATTATTGCTTAAGTTTACGATATTGCATGTGATTATTCCTTTAGTTTACGATGTTTCAGGTGATTATTCCTTTAGTGTACGATGTTTCCGGTGATTATTCCTTTTCAGGTGATAATTCCGTTAAGTTTTGTGCCAATTGATGCCTAATTATATTGTGAACTCAGTTTTCTTAAAATGAGTATTTTTCCTATTAGATATGGCAGATATAAGGACAAAAACGGATACGTACATAAGTTCCTGAACTTGACGCTCCTGGAATGTCTGGTTGCTACAGTAACGGACATAACACTCAAACTTGGTGTTGGCGTGGCTCTCTATGATGGAGGAAATATTTTCCATTAAAACAGACTCCTGCCATTTAGCTTCTAGTGCCGAGAGAAATCTGAAAGTCCAAAAGCCAGAGTTACATATATAATCTGAATGAAGATCTGATACTGTTAAAAGAAAATTCAGAAGTATATTTATAGTCACAAGACAAAAGTGTGTGTCATACATCCATCCATGTTTGATACGACATGATGGAGAGGAATCACACAGCACACACAAAATATCTACAATCCTGTAGTAAAGCAACCTTACTTACATGCATGTATCAGTGACTAAGCACAGGCGTACTGATGACACAAAAGAATATATTTGTGTATATCAACGGAAATATTATTTAGTAGCTGTCATATCTGTTTATATAGAAGAAAAAATTGTAATTATTTTTATAAAACTTTGATAAAAAAAAACTGTTAAAAAATGAAGCCAGTACAGTCTTGAGTCATGACAATGACCCTTGACAGGACAGGAATGGTGAACACTATGACCTCAGTCACTTTAACAGTCAATTTATAATCCCTTTTTGGGTCCATCCCTCAGCCCCTGGCAGTACAGTTCCTTCATTTGTACCTTTTTGAATACCCAGCACCTGAGAATGCTTTCAATCAAATATGATCGATAGCAAGTCATAGCGCCGGAGAGAAGTAGTTTGAAGCAATATGGCCAAATTAACTTTTTGGATGGATGGACCATGGACAGACCACAGATGGACCATGGACAGACCACAGATGAAACATGGACAGACCACAGATGGACCATGGACAGACCACAGATGGACCATGGACAGATCACAGACGAAATATGATTTGAAAAGCTCACCACCTGATGATGGTGAACTAAAAAATATTACAATATACAATATGGCTGCCTCCATTAGTATACAATATGGCTGCCTCGATTAGTATACAATATGACTGCCTCCATCAGTACACAATATGGCTGCCTCCATTATTATACAATATGGCTGCCTCCATTAGTATACAATATGGCTGCCTCCATCAGTATACAATATGGCTACCTCCATCAGTATACAATACGGCTGCCACCATCAGTATACAATATGGCTGCCTCCATCAGTATACAATATGGCTGCCTCCATCAGTATACAATATGGCTGCCTCCATCAGTATACAATATGGCTGCCTCCATAAGTATACAATATGGCTGCCTCCATAAGTATACAATATGGCTACCTCCATCAGTATACAATATGGCTGCCTCCATCAGTATACAATATGGCTGCCTCCATCAGTATACAATATGGCTGCCTCCATAAGTATACAATATGGCTGCCTCCATAAGTATACAATATGGCTACCTCCATCAGTATACAATATGGCTACCTCCATCAGTATACAATATGGCTGCCTCCATCAGTATACAATATGGCTGCCTCCATAAGTATACAATATGGCTGCCTCCATAAGTATACAATATGGCTACCTCCATCAGTATACAATATGGCTACCTCCATCAGTATACAATATGGCTGCCTCCATCAGTATACAATATGGCTGCCTCCATAAGTATACAATATGGCTACCTCCATAAGTATACAATATGGCTGCCTCCATAAGTATACAATATGGCTACCTCCATCAGTATACAATATGGCTGCCTCAAATACTTACCCTTCACTTGCATCTCTAATGGCTCCTATATTGGAGAAAATGACATGCCGTTCCTGTCGTGTGAGGACACAGCGATCGGAATGTTCTGCAGAGAATTCTTGTGAACGGAGGAAAGTGTCAATCAGCACATTCAGGCTGCGAAGATATGTAGCCTCTGACGTGACGATTTCAAATGTTGCCTGAAGTAAGTACAGAAAGGTTTGTCAGTTAATATTGATACATATAGTTAAACCCTGATATACTGCCCCTGGTTTATATACAGCAAAACCTTGATGTTCTGCCCCTGGCTAATATACAGTAAAACCTTGATATACTGCCACGGTTATTATACAGTAAAACCTTGATATACTGCTCCGGTTATTATACAGTAAAACCTTGATATACTGCCCCTGGTTTATATACCGAAACACCTTGATATACTGCCCCTGGTTTATATACAGTAAAACCCTGATATACTGCCCAGTTATTATACAGTAAAACCTTGATATACTGCCCCTTGCTTATATACAGAAACACCTTGATATACTGCCCCTAGTTTATATACAGTAAAACCTTGATATACTGCACCGGTTATTATACAGTAAAACCTTGATATATTGCCCCTGGTTTATATACCTTATCATACAACGCTTTACAGATCATTATTAATATAATTTGGGTATCTAGAAAGACATTCCAAATATATATTTATTTCAAATATCCTATTCAATTAATCTTTCTATAATTGAATAAGCTTCTCCTCATGTCTCGTATAAGATAATTGATCTTTACAAATAATGTGGTGTCTCTTATTGACATTGACAAGAAAACCTATTACACACACCTCTTGGATCTTTCGTTCTTGTGATGATAACGTTTCCAAGAGACCGCTCTTTTTGACCTGAAACAGAGGTGTTGAAATTACAAACTCTCACCACATGAAAATAACCAAGTTTTACTTCAACGATAAAATACCTTGAATAGAAAATTTAAAACAAGTAAATACCATCAATAAAAAATTGTTGTTTTGTATTTGTCAACTGAATGACAAGCAAAGGGAACACTTAATTTGTCCAAAGTGCCTGCATTCAGCTATAACTGTACATTTCCATAACAACATATAGGGGTTTAAAATGCAGAAAAGTGTGATGCACCATTTCTACTTAGACAAAGATCAGAAATCTTTTACAAAGAAACAGGAAGAATAGTATCCAAACCTCGGCCATTTCACACCACAAAGCTCTCATTGCGCTGCCCGTTTTCTTGGTGAACATCTCCAACGTTGATGTCTTTACCCGGTCAGCTTTTGTCTCCCCCGGAGATTCTATCACATCGTCCAATGCCTCATAGATCCTCTCATCTACCAAGGGAAACAACTCTGTTATGTTTTTCATCGGCCAAAGCATATACGTCAAATGACGTCATACCCAGTCATATATACATGTATGTGACATCATATAAGTTTTACTCAATTGAAAAAAGAACAGTTTATAATTTTCCTTTAGGGCAACCTCAGTATTAGTGGAGATCTTTTTTTCAGTAGGAATACTGTATATAGATTTGGTAGAGATGTGAAAGTTTGTTTTGACCAAATGGAGATGCTGACAAACCCAATGGACCATGAAAGGTAGGCCGCATCCAGCATTTGATGCATGGGTTGAGACGTACTACCCAAGATGCATCTATGGTGCAAGTTTGGTTGGTCTAGCACTTATAGTTTCAGAGAAACTAACTTAAACCCAAAAACCTAATGTTGACGCCGCCGTCGTCAAAGCAACACCTTAGTCTCGCTTCCGCTACGTCATGGCGACGAGACAAAAATAACCCTTTTGTTGAATCAGCTAAAACTAGAAAGATATTCGACTGTCCAGGTCACGACACCAGTCTCATCATTTAGTTCTTGCATGTTTCAAAAGTTGAGAAAATAATTGAACAGACAAATATGTCACAAGTTTATAAGGTAACCTACCATCTTCTTCGTCGTCACTCTGTGCGTGCATCACAGAACATTTCTTGCTAGCACGGGATGCCATGTCTTTGTGATAATACTGATACAGAGGCTCTGTGGCGTAGATTTTGGGTGTGTAGCGCTCCCCGAGCGTCCCGTACAGTTGGTCCTCGTCCTCCTTTAAACATTAAAACAATTGTTCAGTGGCACACAGACACAAGAGGTCTAATGAAACAGATATATGTTGACTATCCAATAACACATATCAATTAAATAATTATAACACACATAACAACATTTCAAATTTGCAAAACCTCACATAACTGATTGTAGTTACTATTTTTTTCATAATTCCTATGATTCTGCATAGATCCATTAAAATGATTAATAATAATTATATATTAAAATAATTAATTAATAATTATCATCAAACCCAAGAAAACATCACTTAACATTGTCCAGCATCCTCCAATGGTTAATCCACTAGTAACATTAAATTGACTACAGGACATGTCGCCCAACGGAGAGCCAGCCACTCTGAGAGGAAAAGCTGGAGAGCCAGCCTCTCCTGGTGCATACAGCTCTATGTGAGGATAGGGTAGGCAAGATGCAGGCAGTGGTATTCAGAAAATGTTATCAACATTGTAGATCATTATTTACATCATTTAGTAGAATAGATAGTAAGGTAGAAGTAAGCCGTACACTTTTACATTATCTGCCATCTCTTTAAGTAAAAGGAGACAGCTGTGTGTTGGGCGACAAGCATTGACCTTGAGTAAGCATCAGTCTGACCTTGACCAGCATCTAACAAACTTTTGTTTCCTACCTAGTATCTTAATATCTTAAATTCTCCTGTAAATACATGTTACTTGGTGTAAAACAATTCAAACGTGTTATCAACAGAATACGATCACATATGAAACTGAAGAACTTCACCTTGAACTTCAATAGAATGTTTTAATTAATTTCCTTGACTTTTGGCTTTAGTATAGATAAGCAATTGTTCCCTCAAGTGCAAAGTCATGGAATTTGATGCATAAGATTAATTGCAAGTTTAAACATGATTTTCATACTCTTTGTTGCAGCTTAACTCATTCACCCCTGAAGACACATTTGAACTCTTCCAATTCAAAGGTTGGAATAGTTCATTTTGAAACTTCAGGGGTGAATGAGTTAAACAAATGTACATACTATTCTTATTTCAAATTCTCTTTATCCGAAAAGTCAAAAATATTTTTTTTATCATATATTTGAAAGTTGAAGGAGTGTAAACTGACTCAAGGTTGTTAGCCATTTTTCTTACACTGGCTGATGACCGTTGGTAGCAGGTTGACATACAAATACCACAATGATCGACTTATAACTCATACACCCCTGAAATTTCATAATGAACTATTCCAACCTTTAAATTGGAAGAGTTCAAATGTGTCTTCAGGGGTTAATGAGTTAATGTTGATGAGAAAACATTCAGATACAACTCCATGCTTGAGGCCAAGAGATACAGACAAAGCTGTCCTTGCCGACCAAGAAAAGTGTAGAGGACAGTTCAGGCCAATTTGAACTAGTTGAGAATAGTTAACGATGTCTACAGTATATATAAAAGCTCATGCATATTTTTTTTCTCAAAAGAAAATCATTCCTGCAATCTCTATGACATTCCAGACTTTATACACATTCATTTCATCAGTTTCTCTGTTATAGTCAGAACACACCATTCCAGTAGCTTAACCTCAGCCATTGTCCAACACACAGGGATCTGAGAATTTGTTACAGCTATATTTGGACCTAAACTAAAGTGTTCAGAGTAATTTCAGTAAAAATGCCATCCCCAATGATTTTATATATGTTGGGGGTGGCATTTTTAGTCGATCTAAACCCCTAAAACATATAAAATTACGCTGAACACCTTAGTTTAGGCCCAAATATAGCTGTAACAAATTCTCAGATCTCTGTGGTCCAACACACATTGGTATAGAGGCGCTATATTTCAAGAGTACAAATGAATCTTGGTTATTTTGAAGAATCTTCAAGCAGATCCTTGCGAAAAAAAAAAAAAAAAAGTTGTGTGGAAATTCAGTGTCATTCCGAGGTCATCAGACGTTAAAACAGCTACTTACTGGGTCTATGGTAGCGAATCTCTGCAACAATTATACACAGCTACTGAAGGCACATATCAGCATCATCATGATGTTACTTTAACAGACGTCTAATCATTTATTTATTTTTTAATTTTGATTTATTGTAAAATAAATTACGCTTTCCTCAAGAAATAGTTTTTTAGAAGTTTTTAATGCTACACACTGAAAAGTACCATAAAAATTTGTGTAAAGTGCACATTTTTTTAAGGAAAAATTAAAGTGTCAAGTAAGGAGGTGTGCACTATGCACAAGAACTATCCAAAACCAGTCCTTGGTCGCGACCATTTATCGTGAAGTTTTTTTGGGATTTTTATTTTATTTCATTTTTTCACCCAAAAAGTACCTGCGCACTATTCACGAGTGCCCACAATACATTAATATTTACGGTATAAGTTTTTGGATGTTGGCACACAAATAAACAAACATTTTATATCATACTTGAGCACATCCCAAGCTCACTGTGAATAGATTTCATCATTTTTCTTACTCTTAGTAATTAATGTTTAAAAGACTTTCTATGGAAACCAGTGCTTTGGGCGGATTTCGGGCCACAATGTGGAATAGCTTATCACCTGCTGTTAGAAAGTCAAATACCCTGGCCAAATTCAAGAGGGACATCAAAACTCACCTCTTCACGTCTCCTCAAAGCATTTTAGGCTCTTAACACAGACGTCAAATACATGTATGTGCACACATTGCAATGATTATCTGCTTGCTGAATGTATAAAAGTGATTGCAAGCCTTTTTTGTTTCACAATTATAACTAATACTTATCCATATGTTGTAAAGCGTTTTAGAGTAATTTTACAAATTATATAGGGTAATATATAAATGTTGTATATTATTATTAATTAACAACACATGTCATATATGTGAGGGCTATATCTGTGGTACTTAAACCGGATATAGCAAGTGTTGTGAACAAAACAATTAATTAATCATATCTTTAATTAAATAGCATGTTGTTGTTTGTTTTCATGGGATATGAAAAACAACGTATCTGTTAAGGGTTTAAATGTGCATGGTGATATTCTTACAAAGTTTGCAAATAATGTTTTCATACCCCCAAAGTACATTTTTGAAAATCGCCACCAAGATTATAAATAATCACAATTAAATGCTGTGGAAATAAAAGTATGACTAGAATATTGTTTAGTTTTTCTAATTTGGGCATTCCACTGCTGCAATATTAAAATTCTTATGATTGGCATTTTAAAGGAAAGGTTGACAACTGACGGAGAGATTTATGCATTTTGTATGAAAAAAATAAATCATACACATATTTTCCTGCTACTCACATCTCTCATGCTAATCAAAATATATAGATGGGAATTCATACAGAAAATACAGTGGCTATTTAACCCTTTCACCCCTAGGTAACTTGAGTAAACTCTTCCATGCATTTATGTGGATGAGTCCATTATGGTCTACAGTGGTCAGAAAGAGTTAACTATCTCGCCTTAATCTTCCTAAACCAGTCAAACCTCCTTAATCTGTGATTTGTTTATCTACAAAAAGTGATATTATTTTTGCTGTATTTCTTTCGTAATTCAAAACTTTTTACTCCAAAATATTTTTACAGATTAAGGAGGCACCCTACATGCACTGACACTAATAATGCATTCTGGGTAAGCTGGTCAGGGATGCAGAAATCCTAGGAGGATGTATGAAGACAAATCCTACTGCAGATAGGAACAAGGATATAAACATAAAATTTACAGATTCCACTTCCCGGGCCTGTCACAATCCATCATCAAGTACTTCCTTTTTGTTCCCCGATACAAAATGCAGTATCTTTATGATAAATTATTCATTTATCATAAAGTATATGATCATAGTCATTCAATTTTTTCAACTTTTTCGGATAACCTTGTGAGATGGTGAAGGTGAGGGGCTGTGCGATTGTGAGACACACGAGTCGGTAGACGGCTGTTTTATCTACGGTGACATTCCTGACTCACCTGTAACACCGGCTGTATACACTTAATCCTGTTCTGTAGTGACATATGATAAAATTCACTTCACATCGAAAAAACTGTATATCTTAACAAGCATAAAACTCACAATAACTACCATCATTATTTCCGTTAGACAATAGCTATACTGCATACTTAAACACTGTGATTACAGAGTCAAACTTTCATTGTTTTAAACTTTGCAGGACTATTGCGAAAAATCGGAAAAAAGTACATGTAACTATTTCATTTCAATTCATTAGATGTAATTTTCAACATGCCCAGGGGTGTAGGATAGGGAAATCCCAAGGATGGAATTTCCCTATCCTAAACCCCTGGACATGAAAGCGTATTTAGCTCAAAAACCATGAAAATACTTTTGGACTGACTACCGTTTGGTAATTATCAACTTTTCCCCTGAGTCTTTTTGACAAAAGCAAGATTTAGCATACCCATATTAGCAAACCAAGTTTGCAGAGAAAAATTGATCTCATCTTTCGAACTTGTACGGTAAATATATTGAAAAATGAGGTGTAACACAGAAGCTTCTTACATCCCTTTCTTACCCTGGACAGCTCTATCTTGCACACGCGGACATGACAGAAAATGTAATACTCACCAGGTCGAGGTACATGTTGTCGTCCGCAGTGTTCTGGTACTGTGATTGAAACATCAGGATATCTTGGAATGGCCCATTTGATTTCTGGTTTGTAGGACTTTTATCAGGCGCACTGGCTACATCAGCTGACTTCATGTATAATGAGGACAGTTTCTTTTCTAGTGGACGTTTGTTCGCCCTGAAAGTTGAGAAACATTTATTACAAACAATTTTGTCTTTAATCTGTATGTAATCTGCCAAAAAGGTGGGTTTTCTTTTTAAAGAGAATAAAACTACATAAATGCCAACTTCTATTTTGGACCCTAAAATTGAGCTTTTTCAACTGGTGGATTTGCTAAACTATTCCTATTTTTCTATGATCTGATGATTTCACCTGAAAGAACAGCTCAAAAGATGCCATTTAAAAGTGTTATTTTTTCCCTGGGGTGAACATACATACATTTTATCTATACTTTTAATTCCAAGCACACGTGATCGCCACCATCGAAATTTCAAAACGTTAGCAAGTATGAAGCTAGATATTATTAAAGAATTTCATCCCATATACCATACAACTGAAAATTTAAGTTATACATATGTACAAGAGATTCCAGGAGATTTTCAGAGGGAATATTCGTAGAAACTGAGACGTTTGTTTAACTTACTCTTGTTCCTGAGCACCTGGTCTATCACATTCAATGTAAATGTTCTCTTCACCTGAAACAGGAATAATTTTTAAAATTGAATCAAGCAGTCTAAACCATTCTATAGGACAACTAAATTGAGATAACTGAGATCACAGTTGCACTTTATTTTAAGGATTAAAATTGAGTAAAATTCGGGCAAAATTTCGTTTTGTATATCAGAACGAAGCTTTTTTAAAATAACATAAAAAAGTTCCGAAGATAATACAAAAGAATTTGTTTTTCAGGTTATTTACAGTGTTAAATTCTACGTTGTTATCTATTTATAGTCTCCATTGTGATGTCATAATATTATCTCGAAGTTTGTGACATCTTTGTGACATCATTGTGATGTCATAATATAATCTGGAGGTCTGTGACATCATTGTGATGTCATAATATAATCTGGAGGTCAGTGACATCATTGTGATGATATAATATTATCTCGAGGTCAGTGACAACATTGTGATGTCATAATACCATCTGGAGGTCTGTGACATCATTGTGATGTCATAGTATCATCTGGATGTCAGTGACATCATTGTGATGTCATATAATGTCATCTGGAAATCAGCAACATCATTGTGGTGTCAAAAATGTCATCTAAAGGTCAGTGACATCATTGTGATGTGATAATGTCATCTTGAAGTCTACGATGTCATTATATGGTCATTTTATATCAGAATAGGTCAGCATAAATGCAAACTCTCCTAGGTATATGACATCTGTGTATTCACTGATACAGAGGCCTGATTCTATTATTAAAACTTATGAAGAGAATGTATCATTACCACTATTGGAACGGTGTGGTGCAGGAGGTCCATCAGAATGGTCAGTGTCCCTGCTGGACTGTAGCATGTGTCCATGGAGATAGCTGTCCGTACTGGCATGCCACTGGCCCTTTGGCTTCCTGTATATGATACACCAATGTTCATCATAAATTTGTTACGGGGAGAAAATGACGATAGGTACACCATAATACGACTAACTCCACAATACATCAGAAACTTGTTACGAGGAGAAAATCTTAATATGTGATAGTTTCTATATCTTAACTTGATTTTAGATAAGTGTAGGGACTATAATAGCTTGCATGCTGCAAGTAGGAGACACAGAATCTTTACACGGTAGTAAGTAGATACAAGAGGCCTAAATGTCCTGTATTGCTCACCTAAATATTTATAAGCAATCATGTCCGAGTGCATATTTTTACTAAATGTTATACCGCCAATATTTTCTAGTGTGTGTGCAGGGAGATGGGGGTTCTATTTTATAGAACTGATTAACTTATTCTAACCCATTGTTTGCTTACACTTATATTTATATTTGGATATATTTATCAATAAATAAATGATTTCCATCCAGTTCTGTGGGTTCTATCTATTCCGTCTTTGCGTATTGCAGAGTTATCTTCCCTTGGGAGCAGGGATTTATTGTTACGTCACTTGTTTGTGAGAGTAACGTCAACAATTTTTGAGAAAACGACGTAATTTTCTCACACAAACCAATGACGTAACAATCAATACCTGCTCCCAAGAGAAGATAACTCTGCAATACGCAAAGACTGAATTCTTGGCTGATAATGAACAGTGTTCGGTAACAGTAAACAATTAGCATGACCTGGAAATTGACAACCCTTTTTTGTATTTAGAGTTACCAAATCAAATTCTGTTGATGTTATAACCAATAATAACTCAAGTGACCTCAAAACTGAAAAAGTTTTGAAAATAATACCATGATTGGTCCAACAATGACCTTCCATTATCGAGAGCCACGTAACAGGGCGAGGATCTCAACAGTTTCCAAGCTATGGCCCTGCTAGTAAGTCACATATAATAAGGGCAAGATCAGATCCCTGAGCTGTTTCGGTGTTTACCTCTTCATATCCATCAACTGTTAACATGATTAAAGGGTGTCTCAACTGTTTCAATGTTATGATCCAGGGATTAAATCTCCCAGGGCACAGATGGACCCCAGGGCCAATCATTACAGCATGAATGTATTGTCTGTTCATAATTAGAAAAAAATACCGGGTTCATATGGTTATATGGTGAGGAACTCACTTGTTTTCAAGTTAACACCAAAAACGTACGTAGTCCCAAGGGGCTGGCAGGACCCTTTGAGTAATTATGGTAGCATGATTGCATTCTTTTCTTCATGCCCAACAACAGTTTATTTTTGGTTATAGGGTGGAGGTCTTTACTGTTACTCAGTTATAACGTAATGATGTAGTCCAAAGAGGCTTACATCATTGAGTCCCCTTCGCCCAAGGTGTTCTTGACAAAATTTTGTTAAAATCCCTTAATTACTTACCTGAGATCGCCGGTGGAGTGTGCAGTAGTTACCATCCCTGGTGTGACTGGCACAACTGTATCTAGATTGACATTGGTTGAGACACGGTTCCTAGGGGGCAGGGCAGGAGTGGAGGCCTCGTCCTCTGATTGAGGGCGTGAACTGTTCCGCTTTGGGGGTCGCATTGGTACAAGTCCCAAGTTTGTGTCTAATGTCTTGATCATGCTGGAGCGAGTCTTTGGTGGTGGTTTAGGGGCACTTTCCTCCTCATCTGACGCAACCCTTGGGGGTAGCGGGGGCGCAGTGTCCTCATAATTATAACGGTTATCAGTGTCAGGTGACTCGGCCTGATCTATACTGGACGATGAGTCAATATACACAATGTCCTCCAGTGGAATGCTCATAGTGTTGGCCTCACGATCTTCCTCCGTGTAACCCTCCGCGTCGTATTCACTGCTTGATATTACCACTTCCGCTTCCGTCAACAATTTTGGATCTGAACTTTTGGCACGAGTGATTAATTTCAGTTTATCTCCAATCTTGTTCAACACCCCAGAGGATGTGGACTGTTCGGATAAACAGAGTTGTGGAGCGGAGGAGACTTTAGAAAGCCCGGGCTCGCCTCCACTCTTCTTTGGTTTATTGTAGAACTTTTTCAGTTTGGAACCAAGCGCTGCAGCCCCTGATTTATTACCATCTTTCTTTTTCTTCTTCTTCTTCCTGTCTGCTGGAAGTTCCGGGGGCTGTTCACTACGTTCTATTTTTAACTTGTTGACCCAGTCCTGGTCGATAGGTTCATAGATACCCGAGTTACTGCTATCCGAGTCATTCTCTGCATCTCCCTCGGCAGCTCGCTGTAACAGAGAAAAACAGTCGGCTTGAAATTCTGTCAAGATTCATAACAACTGGAAAATGTTGTTTTCTGGGCAAGTTGTTCAAAGCCCAAATATCAGCTTTATGACTCGTACCACAAAACTTGTAATTCTCTTTGAGAAATATCTGAAAGTTGACAAATATGTCTGAGATTGCTGCCTATGGGTGAACATTTTGGATTGCTATACATGCAGGTTAAACGATGAATTTCAAAACCAATCAAATACACAAAATGACCGCATTACCTTATTGTTTCGCTTGTTAGGTAGTGAGAAGCTGGACCTTCATATTTATTTCTACAATATCTTACACTTTCCATAAAATATATATATCTGTGAATTTTTGTGAATACTTATTTTCCAAATAGTGTTTCTAATTAATTAGCACAGCCAGATGGATTGGACACTAGACCATCTCCCGTAACATTAGATAACATGACAATAAAAAGGTTAAAAGATTTACTACAGTGTTATTTGATATGACTAAAACAGAAGAAAGAAAAGAAAGGATTTGGGGAAATCCTAACAGACAACCATTTCCTTTTTCCAATATAATAGCATTCCAAGGCATTTACATTTCATATATACAAGGAAACAAAAGTACCAGATTTCACGAACATCAAATTACACAGGCATTAGATAACATAGGTACCAGAGAACATAGGTACCAGATCCCACAGGTACCAGATTACACAGGCATTAGATAACATAGGTACCAGAGAACATAGGTACCAGATCCCACAGGTACCAGATTACATGAACATCCTATTACACAGGTACCAGCTGACACAGGTACCAGAGAACACAGGTACCAGATCACAAAAGTACCAGATTACACAGGTACCAGATCCCACAGGTACCAGATTACACAGGTACCAGATTACATGAACATCCTATTACATAGGTACCAGCTTACACATGTACCAAAGAACATAGGTACCAGATCACAAAAGTACCAGATTACACAGGTACTAGAGAACATAGGTACCAGATCACAAAAATACCAGATTACATAGGTACCTGAGAACACAGGTAACAGATCACACAGGTTCCTGATTACAGGGGTACCTGATTACACAGGCACCAGATCACATATAGGTACTAGATCATACAGGAACCGGATTACATCAGATTATTGATGGTAGACTGAAGCCTTGGTAACTTTCATAGCCTCGAGGACGTTTAACCACCTGTCGGTCTATCTGACATAAGGATACGTCCCAGCCTAGTGTACTAACATGTAGTCACCCAGGAGAACTTGTAGTTTGTTAGTTTACATGCTAGATACATTCTTAGTTTTAAGTATTAAGTAAAATTTAACATTTTAAATAAGAATAAATAATGTACTGGAAATTGACCTGAGCTAACAATATGTAAACCCCCTAAGCCTGTGTATTGTTAGTGTCACATGTTTTAATTTGGATACATTTTATAGTTAATACCTACGTGTTGTTTATTTTGTGTAAATGAGTTCATGTTATTGTGCCTATAATGTTTATCTAGTACTAAAATAGTAAAAAATTCATTATCTGACATTTTATCTCAAACAACTGATGTACTTGGGTTAAACAATGAGATGATTGTATCACTGTTGATATCAAATTAAACTTTTTATCAGAGGTCAGTGAACTGAGGGCAACCTCACAGAAAAAAGTTATTTTCTATAAGAATACCTAACATAATTGACACAAATAACTTTCCCGAGCCGTGTAAATGATACTTATTGTTAATTTTAGATCTTCTGATAAATATAAACTTATGCAACAGCCTTGTAAATGATACTTATTGTTTAAGTTAGAACTTATGATCAATAGAAACTTACTCAACAGCCGTGTAAATGATACTTATTGTTAATTTTAGATCTTATGATAAATAGAAACTCATCAACAGCCTTGTAAATGATACTTATTGTTTAAGTTAGACCTTATGATAAATAGAAACTTATTCAACAGCCTTGTAAATGATACTTATTGTTTAAGTTAGAACTTATGATCAATAGAAACGTACTCAACAGCCGTGTAAATGATACTTATTGTTAATTTTAGATCTTATGATAAATAGAAACTCATCAACAGCCTTGTAAATGATACTTATTGTTTAAGTTAGACCTTATGATAAATAGAAACTTATTCAACAGCCTTGTAAATGATACTTATTGTTTAAGTTAGAACTTATGATCAATAGAAACGTACTCAACAGCCGTGTAAATGATACTTATTGTTAATTTTAGATCTTATGATAAATAGAAACTCATCAACAGCCTTGTAAATGATACTTATTGTTTAAGTTAGACCTTATGATAAATAGAAACTTATTCAACAGCCTTGTAAATGATACTTATTGTTTAAGTTAGAACTTATGATCAATAGAAACGTACTCAACAGCCGTGTAAATGATACTTATTGTTAATTTTAGATCTTATGATAAATAGAAACTCATCAACAGCCTTGTAAATGATACTTATTGTTTAAGTTAGACCTTATGATAAATAGAAACTTATTCAACAGCCTTGTAAATGATACTTATTGTTTAAGTTAGAACTTATGATCAATAGAAACGTACTCAACAGCCGTGTAAATGATACTTATTGTTAATTTTAGATCTTATGATAAATAGAAACTCATCAACAGCCTTGTAAATGATACTTATTGTTTAAGTTAGACCTTATGATAAATAGAAACTTATTCAACAGCCTTGTAAATGATACTTATTGTTTAAGTTAGAACTTATGATCAATAGAAACGTACTCAACAGCCGTGTAAATGATACTTATTGTTAATTTTAGATCTTATGATAAATAGAAACTCATCAACAGCCTTGTAAATGATACTTATTGTTTAAGTTAGACCTTATGATAAATAGAAACTTATTCAACAGCCTTGTAAATGATACTTATTGTTTAAGTTAGAACTTATGATCAATAGAAACGTACTCAACAGCCGTGTAAATGATACTTATTGTTAATTTTAGATCTTATGATAAATAGAAATTTATTCAACAGCCGTGTAAATGATACTTATTGTTGAAGTTAGACCTTATGATAAATAGAAATTTATTCAACAGTCGTGTAAATTATACTTATTGTTGAAGTTAGACCTTATGATAAATAGAAACTTATTCAACAGCCGTGTAAATGATACTTATTGTTTAAGTTCGACCTTATAATAAATAGAAACTTATTCAACAGCCTTGTAAATGATACTTATTGTTTTAGTTAGACCTTATAATAAATAGAAACGTACTCAACAGCCGTGTAAATGATACTTACTGTTTAAGTTAGACCTTATGATAAATAGAAACTTCTTCAACTCATTTACCCCTGAAATTTCATAATGAACTATTCCAACCTTTGAATTGGAAGAGTTCAAATGTGTCTTTAGGGGTGAATGAGTTAAATCCTCTACTTAAATTGACTGAAACAAATTAGAAACGTTTCTGGTTACTCTATGGTTGATTTATCATATAAGAGGTATGCATGAATATGTTTCTCTCAAAAAATCAGAAAGAATTTCACTTACCAATAAACTAAAATCCCTTAACCAAGAATGTCAACCCGCAACAACCAACACTGCTGAAACCATATCACATCAACGCCATCGCGTAAACTCCTCACACAAACAGTAAAACATTGAACTACAACTAACATATGACCTCCTGGTATGATATTACCATAGATGGTATAGTTCTATAACCACAACCAAACTTAATGCTTCATCAATTAAAGTTGTGATAATCTTACAAATTCTAGTGTTCGTGGTCTTGATCCATCCACCAAAACTTTGTAGCACATCAGTTCAACCATGGCCTGTTAATGGGTCGTACTTAGCAGTTTACCCGGTGAACTTCTACCCAGAAAGTCTAACTCAGTACAACATTATGCGAGGTGGTGTCATAGCTTGTGGCAATATCTGACACCTCGGGTACATATCAAGGAGTGAAGTGATTTATGTACAGTATGATAACTAATTAATAACAGTATACACCCACACGTTATAAACAGTACCCTATTATACCTACAAATTACCACCCACATTATAAACAGTACCCTATTATACCTACTTACCACCCACACATCATAAACAGTACCCTATTATACCTACAAACCACCCACACATTATAAACAGTACTCTATTATACCTACTAACAACCCACACATTATAAACAGTACTCTATTATACCTACTAACCACCCACACATTATAACAGGACTCTATTATACCTACTAACCACCCACACATTATAAACAGTCCCCTATTATACCTACTAACCTCCCACACATTATAAACAGTACCCTATTATACCTACAACTACCCACACATTATATACAGTACCCTATTATACCTATTAACTACCTACACATTATAAACAGTATCTATTATACCTACTAATTACCACCCACACATTATAAACAATACCCTATTATACCTACTAACCACACATTATAAACAGTACCCTATCATACCTACTAACTACCCACACAATATAAACAGTACCCTATTATACCTACAAACCACCCACACATTATAAATAGTACTCTATTATACCTACTAACAACCCACACATTATATACAGTACTCTATTATACCTACTAACCACCCACAAATTATAAACAGTACTCTATTATACCTACTAACAACCCACACATTATATACAGTACTCTATTATACCTACTAACCACCCACACATTATAACAGGACTCTATTATACCTACTAACCACCCACACATTATAACAGGACTCTATTATACCTACTAACCACCCACACATTATAACAGGACTCTATTATACCTACTAACCACCCACACATTATAAACAGTCCCCTATTATACCTACTAACCCCCCACATATTATAAACAGTACCCTATTATACCTACTAACCACCCACACATTATAAACAGTACACTATTATACCTACTAACCACCCACACATTATAACAGGACTCTATTATACCTACTAACCACCCACACATTATAAACAGTACCC